TTCATTCAACATGGTATGAAATAAGTTTTGGTAAATTTTATTAGTGAGATGTTACATTTTACTCATTATTTCGCCACATTGAAAATGTAAAAAAAGGACCATTTTTACAATTTACTCATTTATTTCGTCACATTGAAAACGTCATTGATAATGATATTTTTTAATTAGATTGACATTTTCAGTTCTAATTTGGTCTGAAGTAATACAGTGTGGAAGATGTCTATTTTATTTATGTATAATAATAATAATTATTATGATTATTGTGATTATATTATTATTATTATGATTGATGTTTGATCTGATCTTGTCTGAGACTATTGGTCCAATTGAAAACATCCTAAATGCATGAAGATTTCCTAATTTGTATTAGGAATCTATTTCAAAAGTGAAGAAATAATTAAATTGCAGTTGTAAAAATAAAGAAACAATTAAAAATATTTACTTTTTTGCTGGGCTAAACGTATTTACTTGGGAAAATATATACATTTCTATGTATGATATGAATTTTCATCCTAATAAAGGTAAGCTACTTGATCAGAAGTTTTAAATGTTTTCATATATGAACGTCTAGTAGTATATCAATTTCATTTTTAAGTTAAAAAATCTTGTGGTTATAATTTCAATCTCTATCTATCTCAACAACTAAGAAAGAATGGTATGAAGATGCAGCAAAATACGAAGTATTAGCACAATTGCAAATCTGAGGCTTATAATTTTAGTCATTATCGCATTGAGTTTAGAAAACATTCAAAAAAAAGATTGAGTTTAGAAAAATAAAATATTACGTTTTAGGACATGGAACACTATTACTACTTTTTATATATAAAATAACTTTGAAGAACATAATTAATAGGAATTTGGATGATTTATCTGTTAGGCGGGCAAAACACGGATAATTCATTTTTCAATAGAATGTAATAAAAGGTATATATAAAAGAATAATTAAATAATTGATATAAAACATAGGCTATGTGTACGGATGATTGTTTACTGTTGTGGTTCCAATTGCTTAATTTAATAACTATCCAAATTAATACGGAGTAATTAATAGGTTCTTAACAAGTTACCAAATAAGGTGGATTTTATCCTACAGTCTTTTCTTTCCATATCAATATATAATAGAAATAGAATGTAATAAAAAAGGTATAAAAAGTAATTAAATAATTGTAATATATGATGTCATGACAGGATTATGTGACACAATGTATTCTCTTAAAAAGTTTCTCTTATATATATATATATATATATATATATATATATATATATATATATATATATAAAGGAAATCTTTCCGGTAAGGTATACCTTACCGGAGCCGCCGTGCAGCCTCCACGTTTTGAGGGTCTCCCCGGTGGAATTTTTCGATGAAGTTTTTTGAGCATGTTCGTCATCAAGTCTAGTACATCCATACCAAATTTCAGCAAAAAATTCAATCGAGAAGGCAACCAAACGATTTTTGGAAGATAACTGCGTTTTATATGTATATAAAGGATGCAGTTATCTTCCAAAAATCATTTGACTGTTTTCCCGATTGAATTTTTTGCTGAAATTTGGTATGGATGTACTAGACTTGATGAAGAACATGTTCAAAAACTTTCATCGAAAAATTCCATCAGAAAGGCCCTCAAAACGTGGAGGCTGTACGGAAGCTTCGGTAAGGTATACCTTACCGGAAGAGTTCCCTATATATATATATATATATATATTGATTCTTTCGCAACTTTTATTCCCATCCATTGTACTTTTTCGTTTCACCGTTCATACCTTTTTTATTTACTTTATCATTTTTTCTTTGTGGAACATGTAATACTCCAAACTCGTTTGATGATCATGTTTTTATATTGTATCAACCAACTCTATCACCGATTTTGTGCGATGAATTGTTTAATAGTAAGAAAAAGTAAGGTTAGTGTTATTTCTGACTTTATTAGTTGAATTACTTATAGGACATCATTTTAGCTATTTTTCGTACTCCCTCCATCCCAGAATTAACTTCGGTTTTGACTGGGCACGGAGATTAAGAAAGTGGGAAATGTGTGGTGGAGAGTTGTGCAAAGGAGAGAGAAATATGTAAGAATGGTTGTGAACCACAAATCCTTTGCTAAAAAGGGAAAGAGAAGATAAATTTGGGACGAACCAAAAAGGAAAGAATGAAGATAATTATGGGACGGAGGGAGTATAATTTTTTCTTTATTTTACTACTCCCTCCGTTCTTTTTTATTAGTCTTTCTTTCCTTTTTGGGACGTTTTTTTATCTGTCCTCCTTTCCATTTAAGGAAAGTTTTTACTCTAAATATATCTTTATACCCCAACTTTTATTACCATTACCCCTTTCTTTTTTCTACTTTTTCATTTACCCACTACTCATTACACCTTTTACACTACCCCTACTATTTTCCTCTTAAAACTCGTGTCAAAGCCTAAGAGGACTAATATTAAAGAGCGGATGTAGTAGTAAAATATACTACTATTTTAGATATAATTATTTTATAAATCAGCAGAATCAACCTCAATCAATTCAAACAGAACTTCATAAATTTCAACATAGTGAAACGATTTAAACAATTTTAGTATAACCAAATTGGCTCTCAAAATAGTTCCAATGCACTGAAGTAGAACTTTCCGGTTCTCAAATTAGTACTCAATCGACATTTGGAAATGTTGTACGAAGTAATTATGTATCAATTTTGATAAAGAAAAGTGTGCAATAATATGCTACACGCTAATTATGTATGGAGTATCAATTTTTGTACTCCCTCCGTCCCCCAATTAAGTTCCTAGTTTGACTTCACACATATTAAGAAATTAAATTTGACTTTACTGTGAAGTGCACTATTTTGCACTGTTTGACACTGTTTGGCACTATTTGACACTGTTTGACACTTTTTGATGTAGATAATTTGCCAAATAAGGAAAGAATTGAAGTGTGAATTTAATTTAGGGACTGCACAAAAAGGAAAGTGAGAACTTAATTGGGGGACAGAGGGAGTATGAGAAATTTTAGGGAGACATATATTGATATACTCCCTTTGGTTCTAAATTAACTTTCACCTTTCCTTTTCGGGCATTACCAAAATAAAGTTACACTTTCAAACATTTCCTTATTTGGCAAATCATGTACACCAAAACAGTGCCAAAGAGTGCCAAACAGTGTCAAACAGTGTCTAAACAGTGCAAAACAATGCACTCCAAGCCAAGTCAAATTTATTTTCTTAAAACCTCTGAAGTCAAAATCGAAACTTGTTTTAGAACTGGAGGGAGTATAACTCTACTATTAGGGGTGGGTCGGAGAAGTCTAAAACCGAAAACTGAATCGAAAAAACCCGAACCGCAACCAAAACAACCGAACCGCATGAAAACCGAAACCGAACTCAAAAAAACGAACTGAACCGTAGTTGTTTGGTTTCGGTTTTGGTTTTCACATCTTAAAACCGAACCGAATAAAACGAGCTTTTCAAAAGTTGTTATTTTATTTATTAATCATTAAGTATGATACTCCATATTTAGTTTAGTTCTTAATTCTTAATTCTAGAAAATTAACGTTTCATACCAGATTTATTATGATTTGCAAAATATTGAAATTTAATATTTATTGCTTAATTAAGTGAAACACTTGTACATAAACTTAAATATATTACTATAATACTAATATGTTAATATTTTAAATCGTAATTTACATTTTGCTTGTTGTTGCATGACAATGATATTTTGTTGATATATTATATGTTATGTACTATATCACATAATTTTTTACATTGAAAAATATGTATTAATATAAACTATATTTTAAACAATATAGCAGAAAATGTGAAACTTTAGAGCATAAATATATTTGGCTAAAAAAAGTAGATTAAGTTATATACTAATAAAACTTTAACTTATGAATACTCTGTATATAATTCAAAAATAAACTCATGCGTTTAATTAATTTATATAATGTTTAAATTGATATATAAATTAATTCATTACTTGGAAGTGCATTTGTTTATTCAATCTCTCTTTTTTAATTATGTACGTTTTTGTATTGTATTACTATTAATAATAGTTTGGTGTAGTTTTTTATTATTATTTTGTTTTCCAATAAACAAAAATACTTTGGTAAAAACTGAAATAACCGAAACTGAACCGAACAAATCGTGGTTCCAAATTTTTGAATATAAAACCAAACCGAACTTTTTACTTTGGTTCGACATTTGATTTTAGGTGAAAACCGAACCGTTTGAACCGAACCCGCTCATATCTACTATGATGAGTCATAAGTCATGCATGGCATCACCATAACCATTCATTTTTAAAGTGAAGTATAATCATAATGGAGGACCTCACTATATATAGTGCTGGACTCAGGCCGGGCGGCCCGAACCGGAACCGGCCCGGCCCGGTTACTATGTGAACCGGCCCGGCCCGGTGGCCCGGTCCACCGGCGGTTCGGGTCGAACCGGCCCGGTGGATACCGGTTCCGGGCCCGGGCCCTCTATTTGGTGAACCGGCCCGGCCGGTTCGGGCCCGGTCCGGGCCGGAATAATTTTTTTTTAATTTTTTTTTGAAATTTTTTTAATTTTTGGGTTGGATTAGGTATTTTGGGCCATTTGAGGTGGTTTGGGGTGGTTTGGGGTTGAGGGGGAGGGGTAGGGGGTTAAATAAGAAAAACCAAAAAATCAAAAAAAAAATGGGGCCGGTGAACCGGCCCGGAACCGGTCACCTGCCGGTTCGGGCCCGGGCCCTCCTTTTGGTGAACCGAGGCCCGGCCGGTTCAAGGCCCGAATCGGGCCCGGCCCGAACCGAGTCCAGCCCTAACTATATATATCCAATAGATGTCACCACTCATTTTGTATACCCAACATTTATAACAAGCGTTTACCAACTTTATCGATTTTTTATACTTAATTTTTGTTACCAACTAATGAACAAGAATTGTTTTCTTTTATACAAGGCCACACAACCTAAATATTAATTCTGGTAATTTCTACTGTTTGAACAACCATAAGAATATAAGATTCAATAAGTTGAAGCAAACACACTTTCTGATTGGGAACAGTATGATATAAAGAAATGGGACATTAAAAAACATACACCAGATACAGCTGAGTTAGAAATTTAATTATACAATGCTCACCCATCTGGCCATCAGAGGCTCCAAGCATTTCTCAATCCAAAATTCATCACCCAATTAACAATAGGCGATCTTTTTTAGTAATATAAAACTTAAGAGGAGTTTGGGCACAAATATATACAAGGCATATTGCACAAAATAAACGAATTGATCTCACTAGTCAATAATCTCTCCCTCCTCTTGATGTTCTTCCTTTCCAGTGTCGCCGATGATTGATTTGTCATTACCCAAACAAGTCTCATCTTTGCATTCCACATCATTGAGGAAAGGTTCTTCCATTGGTGATCCTTGACCCACAACCAAATTCTCACTCACTGATTCTTTAACCATTACAGAGGGAAACTTCAAAGGCTTCTCGGGACATTCTACGAAAAAAGAATTCATGACCATGAACCTAAAGACTTGCAACAGATGCCTTTTATCTCTTGTAATATCCGCACAAAGCAGTTTTTGCAAGAGACTTGGCTCCCTTTTGTTTTCTGACTTTTGTTCCTTTGAGTGATCATCACGCTGCTCTTGAATTTCCGATGAAGTGGGGTACTCAATATTTGGCTTTCTACAGAAGCTGTTCCTTTGACCAAACCGTCCCCTCTTGTTTGGCTTGTATTGGTACCTATCCTTCTTATTAAATGGCCTTCTCTTGTCCCCTCTTTCATTGTGCGGTCGTTCCAAGTCTGACAGATAGGAAGAAGGTATTTCCGCAATTTCACAGCCTAGCTCTGCTTGCTTCGCCAATATTTCCTTGAGTCGCTGAAAAGTTGCATAAATCAAATGGTAAAAAAATATAGAACTATTTCAGCTCCACTGCACAATATTCAATCGATCACATGGCAAACAATTATGGATGAAAGTGAAATCTTGGGTGGGCCACATTTCTTTCTCTTTTCAAAAAATAGTTTATGTCAAGTGTCAGCTCAAGGAGTATAGGGAATGAAGTAAGATCAGGGTGCCGATCTATGTGACTATGTGACAGTTTGTATATCCAAATAACAGTTCAAGACTAGAGCACTAGGCAGCATAAAAAGAAAGTGTGTTTTGGACACCAAATTAGGACACGAGGAAGTTTGTTGAATTTAAACAACATTTCACAGTAACATGTTGTGTGCAGTAGGGCTCAGCATGAATCCCAGACTTCCCATCCAGTACCAAGGATCTCCTCCAAGCGCCGATTTTTACCAGCACCAAAAGGACCCAAACAACTCAGTCCCTAGCAGACCAGACTGGACCTAAGTTATTCAAAATTATGGTAGAACAATGCCTGCTGCACTATCCAGAAGAACCAAGTATTTTTAACATATTACGATGTATAAAGTACTCATCTGTACTGCAATTAAGTTCCTACTTTTTATGGATGTGCCCCCAAATTATGTTTTCATTTCCATAGAAGCCCAATTTGCTTATTTATTGCCCCACTTTGCTGCTTATTGATTGCCTTACTGTTAAGAGTTCACTTAGAAAACACAATCAAAACAGTAATTATAGTTTTGCTCTCGTGAAAAGTACGGTTTACGGGTTGTTTTTCCCTATGTGCTATCCTTTTTTGCTCTCGTGACTAACAATTCCTTTTGGGACTAAGGCTTGGCTTGGATGTTGTTGTTGTTGTTGACTAGTATTCCTGATGAATTTGACAAAAACTCCTATAGAGTATTATCAAGTTTTAAGTGAAAAGTGGCATCCTACTTAACTGCAGGAAAAGGGAAATTCGATACATAGTATTGCCAATAATTGATGTTATGCCCCATGTGATGGAAAGTCAAATATTAACAAAAACCAAGAGGTGCAAAATCTAATGCAAATAACCTAGTTTGTGGTGCTCTAGGATGTACGATAAAAAGAAATAAAAAATAATGTATGAAGTCAAATATTGTGGTAAGAATGGGGTGCAAGTACTGAATTTTCCATAAGCAACTAGTGCAAGGAGTAAAACATGAGTAAGTGCTTTAATACGTGTATTCTTGTTTTAAAAGCCGTAGTTAAAATTTCTTTTTTTAAGGAATTTTCTCTTTCCCATAGACAAATTAGAGTAGACATATGAAGCTGTTATCTCACCTGGCGACGTAAATTTGCAGCATGAACATTTTCTTCAGCCTTTGCAAGCTTTTGTGATTTCTGCAGTAAAAAGACGGTTTATGCTGGCCTCTTCATATCATACAGGTCAATCAATCAATCATCATTTACCCCACTGCCACAAAGGCTCCCACCTACGGTGGGGTAAGGGGGTCGGATGTACGCAGTCTTACCCCTGTACTAAAGCACAAAGAGACTGTTTCCGGATGACCCATAACAAATTCAAGCAGCAAACCTTCTCAATGTTATCTTTTGATGGATAATGTTTCTTGCGCTCTTCCCGCCATTGTCGTACTTCTTGTTCTGTGTAGAACAAAGGGAGCGGTCTAATGACAAAAATATCAACAAAAATGATGAGTTTCTGAATAGATAAAATATGAGCATCCTATGACTAAATAATAGAAAAAGGTTCAGGTTTGATATTCCAACTATACTGGCAATTTGGCATTTTCCAAAGCTCATGGGATTTTAAACTAGGTCAAAATCGCATGCATGCATCAATTAGCTATTTTGGGGTTTAGCCTACAAACATTGAAAACAATTATGTGAAATCATACTTTGAATTTTTTGAATAATTTTCTAGAAGCATTTTTTAGTTGAACATGTAATTTTTATGTTTAAACTGAAAACTATTTGTATTACAATTTGGTAGAATAAAGCAGTAAACCAAAACGAACTCTACCATAATAAAGAACAAGATGGCTAATAGTGACGCTAAACACATTTAAATGATCCTTGATGAAGAAACCCTTGGTAAAAACTAAAAATTAAAATCAATCAAACATATCAATTGAACTTCTTTCATGCTATATACTGGTAAAAAAAAATATCCGCTCTGTAAAAATGGTCCAAGGCTCCAAGCTGAGGTAAAAAGTCATAGGCTCAACTCACACTCCTCTAGATGTATGGAAAACATTAAGATTTAGCTTCTATAGGACCAGAAAATACCTCTTTTTCTCCATTTGGTTTTGTTTCTTGAAAGACTTTTCAGTGCTACCATCAGTGTGTCCTATAGAGATCAAAGGGTTGTAATGAGTAACATCATGTAGTATATAAAGTTGTAACTGAACGAGTTTGAGTAGAGTTGAGCTTAATTTGGATCATTTGCTAAGGATTTATATCGGTTACGATCCCTAATAAGCACATAAAGAAACAATTATAAAAAGATCTAAATACAATATTGTGCATACTATAATGCTTGGACTTCCAGATAGCCTCTTGATAGTGATAGCTTTTTGCAAGACCGAACATGTTTAGGTTTGTATACATTCACTTTAAGGGTTGCTGTAAATTTGGTTGGGTGTTATACATGGTTCCTTTTAAAATATATACTTTTTGCTCACCAAATTCATGTATAGCCGCTGAGGTTAAGAATTAAATAAATTCGGGCATGATTGTATACACAAATAGGATCATAGAGATTAAAGCAACATGCGGATTGAATATCAGCTAAGAGAGTAGGGAAGCATAAATCTAGCAATTGATTTCTTAAATGACTTCATCATACCTTAGATTGGGTGATCATATTACAATTGCTATCAGTTATAAATGACAGGCTTTAATGCCATCAAGCATAAAAGAACTAAAGAAGTTTCTCCTAGCTACTGGTATAAAAGTTCCAAACAAAAGTAGCGGAATACAAATGTGACAATAGCACCTACAAGCAAATGATAAACATTTCAGGAACAAAACACACATAATGAATTTCCTAACCTTTTACTTGACTGTCATTATGAATGCTGAAGTTCTTTTTAGCATTTTGAAATGACTGTGTGGTGGGCTTCCCAAATCTGCAAGAAATTCCATCACAATGAAAAATGTTGGTTTTCAACAATATAAAATACATAATGATATTAATCAATAAATAAATAAATGTGTGTATGATTTTTAAACCTACTGGAAGCATACCCAGAGTGCGTTGCTTCATTTCCCTGACTTCTATTGAAGTTGTTGTTAAAAGAACTCTTCCAGGGTCCTTTTGAGTTGATTCTGGTTGCATGTCCAAGACCTCCCTACACATGTTTATGAAGATAAAAAATATCCATAAAAAACATGTTAGCCAACCCCAAACTCTTTTGGGAGTAACACTTGGATGTTTTGTTGTAGAAGACCAGCTCACTGCACAGAGCCTCCAGCAATACCCAAATATTTATAATTAAGATGAAAAAAACTAGCAATTTTTATTCACAAACCAATGATACTACTCCGTATAAAATATAAATTGAACTTTATGCAGCATTAGTTAAATTTTCAGCATCTAACTGTAATGTTTAACTAGGAAGTGTATAACTTCAACCCCCTCAAACCAAAACTCCCAGTATGACTCAGAAGAATCCTCAATTAGCCAGGTTACTCTCACTGTACATTGAAAGTTCTTAAAAATTAAAGTCTAATAACTTGGGCTCACTCATACAGGTAGCCTCTTGTTATGCACCAAGACACATTTGGGCATTACCATAGCACATTAGCACATAGTTTGTTTGTTTTTATGAAAAAAGAAAACAGGAAACATTAGAACGCATACATGAATTAAAAAAATTATAACAAACACTCACTCTAACGTTCTTCCTTCCTTATTAACAGCTAGACTAGATTTTCTTTCACTTTTTTTTTCTTTGGAAATTGGCCCATGATTCAATTTCTAGCAATAAGAAAAAATATCCAGACATCAGGAATGACAACCCAGATGAGCAGAGAAGGTTGAGCCTGTTCCTTGCTCCCCATCTCTCCATATAACTTTGATTTTTTGCACTAGCCTTTTCCAGGACAGGACTAGTGGTAGATAATCTAGTTTCAGTCTGTATCATACAGTTTATTCAGGTAAGAGTGAACAGTAATAATATTTATCTATTTTGTAAAGTTTCACTGCAACCGTAGGCCTGTAGCTAATTCTTTTGAGTTATCTTTTTTTGTAATAAATAATATGATTGGACCCAAGATAAAAAGGGGAAATGTGATTAAACAGTTCACAAGCATGCAAAACAGGGCAGCGAAAAAAAGTGGCAGTGGTATTCCACCTGTGATGTAGCAGCATCAGGAGGGTTTGAGCTGCTCTGGTTTAGATGAGGCTGGGCCATGGAAGGTATATTCCCTTGTTGAGGCTGCTCCAACAAATTCGGATTCATCATTTGCTGTGCAGCCAAGTTGGCAAGGAGGAACTGTGCATTCACACCAAAGTTGGGATCTTGAAGACCACCATTGTGAGGAGCTTGGTTGTTTGCATAAAACGGAAGGGGAGACAGGCCAACTTGAGAAAAGTTCGGGTTCTGTAGTTGCATTTGCAATTGCATTTGCACTTGCAATAACTGATTCACAGTCTGGAGGAGAGCATTATTAGGCGTATTCCACTGGTTGTTCGGCATCATAGCATTAGCATTCATGTTGAAGAAAGGGGCAGGGGTTGCAAAATTATTAGGTGCAAAAAATTGTCCAGGGATTTGAGGAACGCCAACATTATTGGTAGGGTTTTGGGGAGCTTGAAATGGGAAACGGGGAGCAGACGGGTAGATATTGGGAGTGCTTGAACCCTGTGGGTTATATGAACCCATTTGAGGCGGCATTTGCATACCTGGATTACCCATAACCTGCTCAATATCAAAGATGATTAAATATGCGTATATGAACAAGAAAAAAAACACATCTTCTTATCTTAACAAATAAGAGACAACTTTGGGTCGTTGAGGAACCTGTGGAGTAGCCGGACCAGTGAGTCCCTTCGAGTTGACTTGAGAAGATGGGCGAGGCTGAGAGGAGAAAGGCGGGGGAAACATCGCAGAAGAGAAATATAAGTGGAAGAGCCCGGATGGAGAGAGGAATGAGCCTTGTGAAATTGCAGAACTGTCAGCGCGCAGGGTTTATCGAGGGCTTCGGTTATGAAATTATCTTCTTCTTCTTTAGGTTATGAAATTATCTTTGTTCACCATTAACTTTGTTTTGACCTTTTCATTTTTTATCAATTGATCCAATACTTTAAAGAATATTTTTATTTTTTTAATTTTTAAGATCATAAGAAAAGTTTAAGAAAAACTATTATATATACAATATTAATTATGATTGATATCATTGAAAAGATCATAAAATTGTTAAATCTGATATTTTTTTTTATAAAATTGGACCACAAAACAAAAGTTATAAACATTTAAAGAAAATATGGAATGTGATGTCACATGGTAAAAAGGGGTGGAGGAGTGAACAAATTTGCACTCCCTCTAGAACTCTTAAATTGTACGGGGTAGTATTTTCTTTATTACAATCTTCTACTGTGAATCCCAATTGGTGCTATTTTTCCTCAAAAAGATTCCTTTTGTTAGTATAAATTATACGAAGTATTATAACAATAATAGTAGTTTTGATGGTATTTGTAATATGTAATTTTATTACAACTAGCCTAATTCCAAAAGAATGAAAGTCTATAAAATGGTTGATAGATGGTAGAATTTGAAATGTTGTTTATGATGGTAGTAACTTCGTGGCACTTAATGTCAAATTATACATTCGATTGAAATCCGAAGCAGGGACACCCCTGTAAAATGACATTTGTACATGATTCACGTATGTATTGGATTGATTAAAGTCAACTTATTAACAATTGTTTTGTATACTAAATTATATGTGACATGTGTTTTACTTGTGAAGAAATTCATTTTACAACCTTAAAATATTTGAAGTATCTTAAAATCTTATAAGTCAATGAGAGTTAGCGTATTTTAGGTATGAAAAAAAGGTTGGTGTAATCATGTAGTTTAATGAGGTTGTACTATATAATTTAGGAGGTGTACTCTGTTTTATATTCGTCTAATGCCTCCGTCATCTGACTCTCTTCTGTCACCGTCAAACGACCTTTCCTCTTCAAACCATATGCAGCTGCCTTCATCCGCACCGCAACTATTCTACATCGATCGAGTTGTTGTTCCCGTTGCTCTCCCTCTCTTAATGCCAGCTGATTGCTCAAACTATCACACTCTCTATTAATTTAAACAAAAGTTGTCACTTGAAAACACTTTTTTTAGTTTTTTAAGTCATAAGCTGGGAAGAGCATTTTTTCTAGTGTTCGCGAACAAAGCCTAATTTGGTTGAAACCATGAATTTTGGGAAAGGGGTCACATAGAACCCCTTTTATATGAGGTTCTGTTCGACCGTCCTCATTTGGGGCGGTTCCCGGTGGAATATTTTGATGAATTTTTTTGAACATCTTATTCATTAAGTCTAGTTTACTCATACCAAATTTTAGATAAAACTTCAATCGAAAAGGTAGTCAAATGAGTTTTTGAAGATAACTACGCAGTTAAACAATGCGGTATATTTCGCAAAATCATTTGACTGCCTTACCGATTGAATTGTTAGCTGAAATTTGGTATGAGTAAACTAGACTTAATGAAGAATATGCTAAAAAATATTTATCAAAAAATTCCCCTGGGAACTACCCCAAATAGTGACGGCCGGACAGAATCTCATATAAAAGGGATGATTTGAACTTTTTATGTAAGTTCGAGGGGCCATCTCACCTTTCCTCATAAATTTTTCATAAGAAAATGGTAGATATCATATCTATTACTACTATTTCATAAATATTGTTATTATAATTTTCTTAGCATTAATTCGTCAGAAATTTTATTTTCCAAAATTAAAATTTCGAGATAACATCTTAATATCGTATTATCAATTTAAAGAATCGGTCTGGTTCAAGCCCTGACCAAAGGTTTGAAGTAGGGTTGCACAAGAATAACTCGGACCCGCATAACCCACCCGAACCAACCCTAACCGACCTTATTTAATCGGTCATTTGATTTTTAAAAATATTCATGGGTTAAATATGTTTGAACCCGCACCTAATGAGTATTTCATTAAAATCTCAAACCCGATAGTATCCGACCAGGCCGAAAGTTCATTTTAGAATTATTATGCTACAACGTTTTCTTGGATAATTTCAATTTAAGACCAATGTGCTCTATCAAGGACTTTATGATAAACATTTATCATTTTGACCAGGTGATTATTATATATTTACGTTTCCGTCTAACTGAACTTCCTGTATGGAAGGATGTTTTAATACTATTACCTAATGTTTTTGCTTATAAAAGATACGAGTACATGTATTTGTTTGTGTGTTTTAGAAACAAGTTAATCGAGTTTGGTTACATTAATTTCCCACATGAAAGATGCAACTCGAAGTGATTTTTTTCCCTAATACCCGACCATACCGACCCGTTCACGCATGGTTTACCAAATTATTTTGCATACCGCGGATTGATTAATTTTCAACCCGAACAAATCGGATTGGCCCAAAAAATATAGCAATCCCGACCCGACCCGACCCGTCCCACGTGGCGTCCCTCTAGTTTTTAGGATAAGTCGCTCCAGGTGGGTGAGAAAGATCTCTGGGTGGGTCTTCACACAGGAAAATAAAGAAGAGACGAAGCTGCCAACGCTCGCCGACCGGGTTGCTTTAATCGCCCGACCACCTTCAGTCGTTTAGGTACGATCCTGATTCCTCGCTCCATAGACCTGCGTCCCAACGTTAACGTGAGGAAGACGACCTAGTCGTCCTTTTGTTTTATTAAAACTGTACTGGATTGTTTTATTGGGGGTGGACCTATAATTTAGGCCGTTTTTATTCGTTCTGGCCTATTATACGAAATTATAATAATGATCATAGTAAAGTTTTTTTCTACATGATGAAAAAAGTAGCAAATTAATCATAAAGCTTTTTTTTGAGTTCCTACGTTGTGTCAAAACTCAAAAGGAAATTTCATATAGATTGTATCACAATTTTCAAAAATCAGATCAAAGAAACTTGCTTTAAAAAAATTAAAGTTGTTACAAACATCTCTACATATAACTTGCAAAAATGTACTGCCATACATATCCAAGTGTATTTGTTGCATCTAATTCTTGAAAAACAAACTTGAAGAACTTATCATTGCTCAGTTGCTATACATTATTATTATTGTTGATGGAGCTTTTCATTATAATGTAGACCCTGAACTTTGTCATCTGTGTCATTATTTGGTTAACCACTGGACTGGACATCTCATTAAAATCCTAGAATACAACAAATTAAAAGAGATGATTCTGCAGCATGTGAAAAACAATATTTGCTATGAATCTATTTTGACTGTTTTTTTATTTTCTGTAAAATCAAATATCACAAAGCACTTTTTAATCAGTCATCATTTCACTTTGAAATAACTTTTTTTTGTCTTGAACATGTGTAAACATCATGAAATCAATATTTCCATTGTATGTTTTTGCAACAAATGCATACCCAAGCACAAATACATTCACAGACTATTCCCTAAAATGTTTGGGAAACCATACCCAGACCTAAGATATAAATTTGAAACAATGTGTTATATATAGGCAAAAGTATAGAGTATCATATATACTAAAATAGCCACATACCCGGGTATGGAGGTTTACCCCATCGTCTCTTTCCTTTGTTAATTTGGGTTGCAGATTTAATGTGACAAACTTTTCCTATGTAAGAACTGATGTGACAAATTTTTCCTTCGATATTCATATTTTTCATATTACTAAATAGTATGAAAATATACATATCGAAGTCGGCTTTTAAAAAGTTGCCCTTTCTTATCCATAAATGGTTGCTCTTGTAAAGCTGTAAATGGGTTGAAATTGGCCGGTTTTTGGGTATGAGTCATGGGTTGAAACAAGACGTCCTCATTGAAATTTGAACTCTTCATAATCAATAAAAGTGATTAAAATAACACACCCAAATCAGATAAATTATAACTCCAAGCCTCCCTAAATCACTGTCATTTGATAAATGATTAGTGGTTGTATGTTGATTAGTAACATAGTTCATAATTGTTGTCTGTTTATTTGTTCCGCACGACTGCACTTGTTGAATGTGGATGTTGCAGTTAATAGATTTCTTGATTAATTGATTTGAGTAGCGATTTAGTTAATTAATTCGTAATGGTTAGCTTTAATTAAAGTATTCAAGTAACTTTAAATTTTCTCTATTTTTATTTTGTAACTGTGATTGTATTTAGTTTAATTTAACGCATTTAAAAGTCTTTTCTTAATTTAAAGGTCTTGAATTATTGTCATTATTGTGCAGGTTAGTTTAGACAGAAAATAACTTTACATTTTTATTAAGATTGAGCCCATTATATTACCCTCCCCTAGGCCTTGAAAGAGACAGAACCAGCCTTGATCTTGAGGGTTTAAACCAGATTCATCTAGCCTCTTTTTAATGTAACTAGCTTGTTGCTGTTTTATTTATTATATCTTTTGCACTGTTGTTTGATTTATTAAATCTTTTGCTTTCCTGGTTGATAGATAAAAGTATAAAACTGCTATGCTAATTAAAAGAATACATCAAATGAAAACCATCAGGTGGTGAGGAGGAAAGTAGGAAAGTATAAAATTGCTATGCTGAAAAAGTATATCAAACTATTTACAGACTTGCTTTGAAAGGTGTGTGCACTTCAAATGCATTTTATTAATAATACTAATAACATATTTATTTTAATTTATTTAATTTAATACTCCATCTGTTCTTTATTATCTGTCCTCTTAGGCTTTTGCACGGGTTTTAAGAGGAAAATAATAGGGGTAGTGTAAAAGCTGTAGTGGGTCCTGGGTAAATGAAAAAATAGGAAAGAGAAAGGGGTAATGATAATAAAAGTAGGGGTATAAAGGTAATTTGATTGAAAAAACTTACCAAAAAGGGGAAGAGGGAAAAATAATTAAAAATGTCCCAAAAAGGAATACGAGACAGTTAATAAAGAATGGAGGGAGTATGTAAGAAATCATTTTTTATCCACTAATAGTGGGCAAATTGGAATATTACATAAATCAGAATTTTTGGTAGTTAACTAGCTTGGAAAATATGCTATTAGGATGAAAGTGTTGTTAGGTAGTAAATCTAAATTTATTATATGTAAACTCAATTTGACAGTCAACAAAATTTAGATATTTAATATAGTTATGTAATATAAATCATATTTTTTGGTAGTAACTAGCTTGGAAAACATGATATTAGGATGAAAGTGTTGTTAGGTAGTCAATCTAATTGATTATATGTAAATTTAGTTTTACAAACAGTCAACTAGATTTAGATAAAAATGTTATACGAATTTCAGATAGTTAAGATAGTCTAATAAATTAGGATAAAAATGTTGTTTGTGCTTTGGATTTGTTCATTCAAATGACAGTGATTTACGGTGACTTGGAGTTATAATTTATCTGATTTGGGGTGTGTAATTTTAATCACTTATATTGATTATGAAGAGTTTAAATTTCGAAGAGGACATCTTGGTTCAACCCATGACTAATACCCAAAAACCCAGACCAAACCGACAAATTTCAAACAGGGTGGGTAAGATCCGGTTTCTACTATGAGTATTCATGTACCCGGCCCTTGCCTGATCAGCAGAACCGGTGGTTCATATTCTTATAAGATTATCTGACCCAAACCAATCCCTAGTAGCATGTATTTATCGTAAGTTTCGATAGTTAATTTTGACGGGGTAAAGTTTGATGACGGCAGATCTAGAAGTTTGGCAAGGTTTAATCTTCTTTGAGATAGCTTGATTCTACTTATACCATCGATATAACCCTCCTCTTAGTTGCAGAATGGTGTATATTATATAAATATAAATGTATATAAAATTAGAGGATTAATTTTGGTTTTTACTTTTTACTCTGAAGAGCAATTGGGTTTCGAATTTCAAATGGTCTTTAGAGGGAGAGGAGGAAGAGGACGCGGTGGATTTTCCTTCGGAAAGCAGCAGAAATTTGACCTATTTCCAGAAATCAAGGATGAGAACTTAGGTAAGGCAACCATGCTTACCGAAAGGAGATCTCTAGCACTTTCATATGCAAGGCTGAAGAGGTATTGGAATTCCTCAGCATACTTTTTGGGTGATGACATTGATGTTTCAAACAAAACAAAAGGCATGGATATGGAAAGGTTTTCAGACATGAATTCAAATAGATCTAAAGCAAAACCCCCACTTTTGGATTTCATCTTGATTACCCCAGACTATTTTCCTGCTGAATTGGTAAAAGCTGAAAGGAAGACGAAACGTCCTGCAAAAAGAGTTCGCTGGACTCAGGAGGTAGATTTGCAAAAGTTGGATGTCTTTGAGAAGCTTGAACAGAAGGGCATTGACCAGGATGAAAAGAAATCTGACGATGAAAATGACGAGGAAGAAGAAGAGAATTCTGAGGAAGATGAAGCGTCTAGTGATAATGGTGACTATGAGCAAAATGTTCATTTTGACGATGATGACGATGACTTCAACATGGATGAGGACGATGCTGATGAGCCCACATATGATTGACGTTTCTCGGTATTGTATTTTATTTTCGAACTGCAAATATTCTTTACTCTCTTTCACCCCCCTCTAGAACTGCTGCATTTATTCATTTATAATCCATCTTGTTGAAGCTGCCTAAAATTTCAACACCTTATTCAATTGACTAGCTAAAATGTATCCTACTATATTTCCTAATGTGCAGGCTATGAGAGAGGTAACCCTTTGCAAACTGTTATTACAATGCCTTATGTGCACATGATTATGAACAAGACTAGTAAGCGTCAACCTCCCATATGAATGCATAGGACTTATACAATTAACAATTGTATGTTTTACTCGAAAACAGGAAAACAGCTTAGAAGATACGCCATATGTATTATTTCATCATAACACTTTTCGGGGTCTGTATTATTTTGGAGTAGTTTATATTTACAAACCTATATAAAAAAACTATGAGGTGTATCCTGTATGTAGTTCAATGTCTAGAAATGATTCGAGACAAGAATTATTTATGATTATTTCTTAGACCATCTGAGCATTAGATCCTCTTAAAAAAATCAAAATACATTTTTTTTAATTAGAGGATAAGATATAACATCATAAATTCCGTAGTGTCAATAATAAAAAGTGTAAACAAATATACTCCACTGTATAGTTCTTATTATACAACCATAGATATTATAAATAGATAGTACAAAATTGTAAAAATTATAAGAAGTCTTATAAACCAGAAATGTAAAAAGGAATTATAGACTACAGCTTACTGTACTTCAACTAAATCTTTCAAACATAGGAACACTAGAAAACTGCGGAGTGATTTCAAGATTTAGAAAATCATCCCCTGTAATGATATTTGCATCTCCAGAAAATATAGAGCGTATAAGAAATTGACTAGAGCTTAATGTTGAAATTATTTATTTATTTATTTTTGCTGAAATGAGACATGTTAAATTGATTTGGTAAAGATTTGTGAAAATTTCTGACTAAAATCTGAAGACGTTTTCATTTGCACTGATTGGACTAAATTAAATTTGACCATAACATGTTATGCAAAAATAAAACAGATCAATCTAGATTAATTTACAAGCTGAAGTGCTGAATTGAACTGAATCTCTTCTCGTCAACAAATAGCTTTTTTGTTTTAATAAACCAAATAGCCTTAATAATAGATGGTGGTTTTCCTTATTGAAGTCAAATATTTTATTTAACTAATGTGACCACATCTATTCTTTTACCTTCACAATACCATGTGGACTACAGTCTACAGTACAACACACTCATGCATTACCCAACATACACGTCTCAGATAATCATGTTTGCTATCTATTCCATCTCCTATAGCTTTCAACATTTTCACACAGCTTTTTCACTTGAGGTTATATATTGGCATACATATTGAATTGTAAATTATTAATGATCAAGACTTTTTGTCTAACTGATTTTTCTCAGCTCTTCTGTTAATAGTCATGACTTTTAGTCTATATTTGTGTGATATGATCCATCCACAATACTATTTGGTTTGTCTGATATTATTTGTATTTTTCTTTTGCAATTTTCCAGATTTTGATGGCCTAGCAGTTTCCGAAAAGTTTTTTCATAGTTTTTTGTAATCTTACGAAAGAAATAACAACTTTATGTGCTCTACTGCTCAGGACATTGCAATGTAAGTGGTTTGACCTTTCTATTCATGCTGTCTTTCAAATACATGAACTCAAATAATGAAGCAAGGGGCATTTGATTTGGTGCAGTTTTCTTAATGACTGAGTACAATTTCAATGCTTAGAGAACACGAGTGGAGCAAGGGACAACTCAATCTGATCTCTTTTTACATATTTTATATCTGAGTTTTTATATGATATTTTTACTGTTCATTTGTTACTTCAGGGCAATATGAGAACCTTTAAAATTTAGGGATAAAAACCGTTTTGATTCACAATACTACTTCACAAATTTAAGCTATTATGACGTACGAATTGCCTTCTCCAGACTCCAATCATATTTGTCATTTGTGTGATATGATCCATCTACACAATACTATTTTATTTCTCAGGAAGAATTTGTATATCTTTCTTTTGCAATTTCCAGATTTTGATGGCCTATTAATGGCCGAACAGTTTGCTAAAAGATTTTGATAGCTTTTTGTATCCTTGAGAAAGAAATAGTAGCTTTATATGTTCTGGCTAGCCTTTACAATCTGACTTTGCAATCTATATATAACTTAAGAAGTTATATATATCTTACAAAGTTACGCTCTCAAGAATTTATATATATCTTACAAAATTCAATGAAAATTAAAGTTCAGTGTATATCATTCTCGATGTGAAGTGTTTGCACATTTGAGGAATTCATTGAAGTTCTCCGAGAAATGCTAAGTTACAAACATTTGTTTGCATTCTTTGGTGCTAGAAAAAGCAGGGGAGGGTATTTTCAGCAATTTCATTGATAAGCTTGATAAATTATGGATAATTTTGTGACTATGGCTATTCCCGCCGCGCACCTCTTACTCAATCAATGCAGTTTTCTCCATTTTGTCTAGAGCGGTTTGGTCACTTTGGTGTGAGTTTACTCAGATTAGTCACAATGAATGTTCTAAAAAGTGCTAGGCGCTAGTCGGGTGTCAGCTTAGCGCCTAGGCGGCTAGGCAGGTGCCTAGTTGAGGACTAGTCGGAGACAAAAAATTGCATTTTTATCTATAGTTTTACATAAATATGATAAGTAATATTGTATTTTTGTGTATATAAAATTCATATATACATATACATTAACAAACATGAATGATAGAATTATCACATTTAATCATACGTAGCACTCCGTATATGATAAATAATCACTTAACTTCATTATGTTATAAATATAAATAATGATGAAATTTAGGTGTATTTATATATATATATATAAACATATATATATAAACATATATAGTTTTATCTTAATTTACAATTTCATTTCTTTGTATCCACGGCTAAAGCTAAAGTACGTATATCGCTTAAAAAAATAAAATTTAAAAGTAAAGTAATGTTAGGCGAATCTAGACGGCCTGAGCGGCTGATTAGGCGCTCTAGGCGGGCAACTAGACGTCATAGGCGGTTGACTAACTTACCTAGACGGCAAACCAATTAGTCAGAGCGCCTAGGTGAAAATCGGGGTGCCCGATCACTGTCTAGCGCCTAGGCGGGGACTAGTCGGACGCCTAGATCGACTTTTAGAGGTCACAATTGTCATCCCTACTTCTAATATTGGTTACTATGTATTTGTTTTTATTTGAGTTTTTTTCCATATTGATGTTAATTAATTAAATAATTACGAAAATAGGGTTGTGTTGAAAGTATTTACCAATATACTGCTGGGTTAACCATGGTCGGGGTAAGTCGCCAAACGGTTGGGCGACTTATAAGTCGCCATCCGGTTTGGCGACTTATAAGTCGTCCAACCGTTTGGCAACTTACCTATTAAATAGGCAGACGAGTTGGTTCTGCCAGACAGAACGCAAACCATTCCCCCAAAGCTGCAGTGACGAAGGACGAACGACGAGCGGACGAGAGCCACCAGTGAACCTCCATCTCCGGCGAACCTCCATCTCCGGTGGCGCCACCTTGCCAAGGTCTCTCCACCTCCATCTTCTTCAACACTCTTTCTTCTAGGTAAATGAAACTCCATTACATCTCATTTTGAAGTTAGGGTTTTCAATGTTAAAATTTTCGAATTTATAGATAATGAATTGATTTGTGAATTGATTTGTTGTGAAATGTGGATATGTATGAAATGTTGAAATTTGATATTAAATTGATTGTAAATTTTAATGTGTATTTTGACATTTGGGTAGATTTGAATGTAGCTAAATTTGGGTATTGAAATGTAGACTTGAATGTAGATATCAAAATTTGGGTATTTTGATATTGAAATTTGAATTGATTGTGCATTTTGACATTTGGGTATATTACAATGTAGCTAATTTTTTTATTGAAAATTTGAATGTGTGTAAACTGTGTATATTGATGTGTAATAATGAAAGTTGGACATGTATTGTTATTAGAATATGAATTTCTCCAACTTCCCAATCGTGTGTCATTGGGGAGGGAACTATTATGAGGATGCTGGGCAAATACGCCATGAAGGTGGTAGAAGCAGCTTTGTCATTGTTTCTCGTGTCGCTTGCTTGCTCGAGATGCTTCAAAAAATACATGCAACTACAATGATTACTCCGACTAGTTCTTTGCGTTTGAAAATGAAATTTCCAATGAATGGGGGAAAGTACATGCTTATGCCCCTAACTGATAAACTAGCTAAATCAAATATGTGGTCGATAATTGAGATAGAGGCTATGTCCACCCTGGAGATATACATTGAGGACTCCATATGTGACACATCTGCTACTCCATCAACATCAAATGCTGTTGTATCTAGGCATGGTGTGAATGCAGGGAACTCCTCACATGCTGCTGTACTGGACATGGTTGTAGAGGAAGAGGGTATGTATTTGCATAATGGTGCATCATTTGTGGATGGGCATGACACTGATGATGCTGACGAGAACATCAATGGTGATGACATGACATAATCTGATGAAGATGATGGTGATACTGTCACGACAACTGCCCCCTCTAGCCATTTTACTAGAATATATGATCTCCCTGAAGGCTTTATTGATGTGTGGATGAGTGGATCAGGTATGAAAAGGTTTACCCCCGAAGGTGAGTTTGAGGTCGGTCAACAGTTTGACAACAAAGAACAAGTCATCAATATGGTGAGCTTGTATTCTATCAAACAGAACCAATTTTATCAGGTGATGGATTCCGATAAACACAAATGGGTGGCGCAGTGCAAAAGGAAGAAAGAATGTGATTGCCCCTGGAGAATACGCGCCACAAAGAACAAAGGAAACCTTGACAGCTTCACAATTGTGCGTTATCCGGGACCTCATTCTGCTACGTGTGTTGGCAACACCGACACTACCGATCACGTGGCTTTGACTTCAGATTTCATCTCTAAAGATGTGATTGACATTGTTCGCACTGATCCTTCCCTTAAAGTGCATACTATCATTGAGATGCTGAAGGAAAAGTATGGGTATACGGTATCATACCGGAGAACATGGATGGGGAAGCAAAAGGCCATAGCAGAAATATTTGGCGGTTGGGAGACGTCATATTCTGAATTGCCCCGTTTCATGACAGCGCTCCAACATTCAAATCCTGGAACTATTGTGCATTGGTACCCACCCCCTAATACTCCCACAGGTTATATGCGGTTTCAAAGAGTATTTTGGGCATTCAAGCCTTCAATACATGGTTTTAAGCATTGTCGACCCATACTTACTATTGATGTCACACACTTGTATGGAAAGTACAAAGATACATTGCTCGTGGCTATGAGTTGTGATGCGAACAACCAAATATTTCCAGTGGCCTTTGCAGTTGTTGAATCTGAGAATGGGGAAAGTTGGCCATGGTTTATGGCATGTATTAGGGAGTTTGTCACTAATAGGGAGTTGTGTGTCATTTCTGATCGACATGCAGGTATTGTCAGGGCAATGAATGAGGTGGGCAGTACTTGGAAGGAGCCTTATGCGCACCATAGGCTATGTATCCGCCATCTTGCATTGAATGTGCAAACTCATTTCAAAGACACTCACCTAAAAACTCTTTTCTTCTGGACCGCACGACAACATCAGAAAAAGAAGTTTGATGGTGGGTTCAAGAAGATAGGGGAAATGAGATTGGAGGCACGACAATTTCTGGGGAACATTCCCCCGAAAATGTGGTCATTACACCACGATGGCGGGTACATATATGGTACCATCACTTCTAATCTGGCTGAGGTTTTCAACAGCGTGATGAAAAATGCCAGATATTTGCCCATCACCGCTTTGGTCTAGGTTTCCTTTTACCGGGTTAATGCTTATTTTGTTAATAGGCGTGAAACCAGTAAAACAAGAGTGACAGAAGGCCACCAGTACTCCCCGCACATCATAGATTTAATTGAGAAGAATAGAGAGAAGGCCAAGCATCACACTGTTACTCCATTTGATTTAGGCTGAGGGGTATACCAAGTGGAAACAGGTTGTGGTGGCCGAACGTTGGGGAAGGGTGGCGGAAAACAAACTGTCCATCTGCAGCGGCGAACTTGCACTTGTAAAAAGATGGAAATATATAAGATTTCATGCTCCCATGTATTAGCCGTGTGCAGACAACGTAGCTTGTCTTATGCTCCATTTGCCGATCATTTTTTCGCATCTAACCAATACTCCGCTACATATCATAGAGTCTTCAAACCCATTCCTGATCGTGATTATTGGCCTACTTACAATGGACCTGAAATTGTGCACGATCCATTCATGCTTCGAGCTAAGGTAAGATCTAAGTCCACACGTATTTAGAATGAGATGGATGAAGGTCACCGAGGAACAATTAGATGTGGAAAATGCCACCAAACCGGCCATAATAGGGCCACACCCCGTACATGATGTGGTCCCTGGAGATGTGGAGGCTCATCAGGCATTGGGTGTCCATCAATGGCATTGGGTGTAATATACCCAAATGTCAAAATGCACAATCAATTCAAATTTCAATATCAAAATACCTAAATTTTGATATCTACATTCAAGTCTACATTTCAATTCCCAAATTTAGCTACATTCAAATATACCCAAATGTCAAAATACACATTAAAATTTACAATCAATTTACCATATTGGGATGTCCCTGTTTAATTGTCTCATACCTTATTTGGTAAAGTTTGTGTGGCTCAAAATCATTCTTACTTTATTCTTACTTTATCAATTAATATCAACCACACAAACTCACTTTTCTTAAAACTCGTGCCACCCTCCCCCGGGACTTTTAAAAGGGGACAGAGGGAGTATCAAATTTCAACATTTCATACATATCCACATTTCACAACAAATCCATTCACAAATCAATTCATTATCTATAAATTCGAAAATTTTAACATTGAAAACCCTAACTTCAAAATGAGATGAAATGGAGTTTCATTTACCTAGAAGAAAGAGTGTTGAAGAAGATGGAGGTGGAGAGACCTTGGCAAGGTGGCGCCACCGGAGATGGAGGTTCGCCGGAGATGGAGGTTCGCTGGTGGCTCTCTTCCGCTCGTCGTTCGTCCTTCGTCACTGCGGCTTTGGGGGAATGGTTTGCGTTCTGTCTGGCAGAACCAACCTGTCTGCCTATTTAATAGGTAAGTTGCCAAACGGTTGGGCGACTTATAAGTCGTCAAACCGGATGGCGACTTATAAGTCGCCCAACCGTTTGGCGACTTACCCTGACCATGGTTAACCCAACAGTATATTGGTAAATACTTTTAACCCAACCCTATTTTCGTAATTATTTAATTAATTAACATTAATACGGAAAAAAACTCTTTTTTTGTTTTTACCTATTTTAGAAAATATTAAATTATAAATTCAATTTTTTCAATTATTATATATTTTTGTGTGGTCAATATTTTAATATTTAATAGTTTTAGTTTTTGAGTTTTTAAAAGTGTACATGCTTTATAGTCACATTAAATATCTGATACTTTTTTAGAATTGTACAAGTTATATTTTCTATTTAGTTTACTTTCTAAAATTAAATTTGAACTTTTTATTTTTTCAAATTTATTTACTTAATTGGTTATTTAATAGGAGTAACTTGAGTTTGTATACCATTTTATTGTGCAAATTGGACTTTGCATCTCATTTTAAAAAAAACATTGTTTTTGCACAATTGCACCCTAACCCCAAATGAAAAAACAAAAATGCCCCTCCATTAACAATTTTGTTGGCCTTCAACATATTCTTTATCAAGAGTATTTTTGTCTTTTCATATGGGGTTGGGGTGTAAAAACAAAGAATATTTAAAAAGGGGTGCAAAGTCAAATTACCCCTTGTTGGGTTAATGGCCCAATTTGAGGATCGGCCTATTCAACCCTCGTATGGACGAACGTCCAAGCCCAATAAGGGTAACAGGTAAAGACGGGCGTCTCCACTGAACCGTGTCAGTTATGCCTTAAAGCCCAAGGCAGATGCGACGTACGACCTGCAACCCTTTGCGATACAACCAATGAAAGCCCCAGAACTCGGGAAGACGCTCGTCTCCAAGAATGGGCGAGAAACCTAGATACTGTCGGGAAGCGCATTTAATGTTGGAAATTTGGTGGTTGAAGCTTTAGCCATCCACAGCCCTCCACGTCAGCATAATCAACTGTCCCTTCGTAGTATAAATAGTAGCATTTAATGCATTGTAAAGGGTTGACAACTTACCCGACTTAGCATTATAGCATTTTGATAGCTCGTAGCTTACTGTCCGCTGCTCTTCTACTTGAGTGTGAGACGAACGGCCGTTGGCCTTAGCATAATGCAGTGCAACGAGACTTTATTAGATCGTAATAATACTTGGCCCATTATTGCATACATTTCTTAGCTCATCTTACTTGCTAGCATCTCATACTCACATACTTCATCCACTCGAAATCTGTAAACTTACGTGTTGGGCCTACGGGTTGAAGAAATAAACCTCAACACCCCTATTTAATATTTTTACTCCATATTTAAATTGTTAGTTGTGCGGAAAATGATTACTGATGGGATTATGGGACTAGGCCCAATGCCTAATCAGACTTGGCCCCAAACTTGGATCAGCGGCTCCAAGCCCACGGCTGTTGTCTCGCCAGGCAAGCCCATCTAGTGAACCCAGCGATCAGATATCAGGTCGACCCAACCGACCGGGCCCATCAGGGAGTGGAAGTCCGGCGGAGCAGAAGCCCAAGACGGCCTGCCTACCGGCCCAACCGGAAGCCCGTCTTCGGTCTAGCGAGGAGCCTGATTCCGGCCCAGCAGAAGCCTGTCGCCCAGGGAGCCCGAGCGCCCAGCCTGCCAGCCAGGGAAGAGCAACGGCCAGCCAACCAGGGAAGAGTAACGGCCAGGCATTAATACGATATTTATTTATGTGATTAATTATGTATTAACATGGTAATTAAATTAGCCATTATAACGTTTGGCAGTTACCATTTGTAATCGCCTATATAAGGCAAGTTGGATTCAAATAATAGAGAAGTTATTTCTGGCTATCAAACTCTCTAGCTACTTTCCTTATTCGTATTGCTTTCCTGATTTCTGCTTGAGTGTCCTTACGTAGCTTTCCTAAAAGCCTACGAGCGTCCTATTTTGGACCAACATTGGTGCTTTCATTGAGAGCCTCTATTGTCTCTCACAATCACTTGAGCAGGAATCGCACAGAAAGATGGCCGGAATCTCGTCCCGACGTGACCATGTCTCAGTCCACACCGAGGAATCCACCGGGTCAGGCCGCCAGCGTGCCCTCGACAACCATGGACAGGGCAGGGGGGCGGCGCCCCAAGGCGACCTTCGGAACCGATTGTCAGGCCACGGCGACCTGAGGGTGACGCTCAACCACACCCAAGGTGAGCGCTCGGCCCGCAGCCGGCGGGGGGGAGGCCGACGTCATGCTCCGCGCATGGACCCGGTTCGACTCAATGCCGGGGTGGAGGCCCTACAGGAGGCGACTCGGGTTCTGGGGGCCTTGACTCAAGGTTTCCAACAGATGGTGTCTGGCGGAAACGTGGATGAGCCTGCCCGCCAACAGACGCCGGCAGATGTGGAGGTGTCCTCCAGGCGGCGTGACGAGCGACGTTCTGGATCCGACCAAAACAGGAGGGAGGAAGTCTCCCAGCAGCTCAGCCGACCCCATCAGCAGGCGGGGAGGGGCGCCCAGCAGGGGCGCTCAATGCAGATGGAAGGAGGCGAGTCCTCTCGCCACTCTCACCGAGCGAGCAGCCGGACTGGCTCCATGGGAAGGCAAAACGTGGGGACCCGACCTCATGCACACAGGCGACTTGGAGGTGCTGCTGGACATGCCCAGCCCCGTGCTAGGGCTGTCCGAGGGAACCCACCGCCGGCCGAGGTGGAAGATCTACGACAACGCCTTGACGAGTTGAGGAGAAGGGTCGTCGGGGGGGAGCCCTACACGGCCGACCTCCGGATACCCGAACCTTTCACCCGGGCGGTCATGGATGCGCCGTTGCCAAGGGGCTACAAGCCTTGCACCATCGAAACATACAAGGGCGCCTCTGACCCCCAACATCATGTATCTCGATACCTCTCCTACATGGTGATGATGGGGTATGAGGATGCCATCCGATGTCGCGGTTTCTCTGCCACCTTGGACGGCCCAGCTCGTGAGTGGTACGACTCTCTGCCTGATGGGAGTATCATGAACTTTCGCGAGTTGGCTCAGCGCTTTCTCTTAAGGTTTGCGAGCTCCCGAGACGTCAAGAGAAACTTCAGCCACCTGTTCGGCCTAAAACAGGGGAAGAAGGAATCATTGTCCGCCTTCTTAGCGAGGTGGAGGGCTGAGTCAATCAAGGTCCAGGGCCTTGATGACAAGACCGGGGTGGCCATGCTCACAAACTCCATCCGGTCTGGTGAGCTTTACAAAGATTTTGTCAGAAGTCCCCCCACCACGTACGAAGAAGCGCTCGGTCGTGCCGATCGCCAAGCCGAGGCGGAAGATGCCGTGCAGAGGAGGAGAGATGAGGAAGAAGGCGCAAAGGAGGAGAAGAAGAAGGAAGCTGGTTCTGGTGCCGAGAAAGCTGACGGCAAGGCTGGCAACAAAAACAAGTATAAAGGTAACAAGAGCAAAGGCAAGGGCAGGGCGGACGTCCCGAGCGGACCGCTCCTGCCCGTCAAACAATTGACTCCACTTGCTCAACCGATCGAGGCCGTCTTCGACTACGTGGAGGAGCAAGGCTTAGTTGACTTTCCGGAGGAGTGTGATGTGGTGACAGCCAAGCGCAACCTCGACCAATATTGTCGATTCCACCGGAGAGCAGGGCATGATACAGATGATTGCGTCATTCTCCGACGGCAAATTGAAGAACTCATCCAAAAAGGGTACCTGGGCCAATTTGTTGGCAAACCAGGAAACATTCCGCAGAAGAGGAGCCTGACGTGGCAGCGGTCCGACCAGGCTGCCACGTCAAAGGAGAAGCAACCCGCCAAGAAGCGAGAGCTCGGCGCCCTTTCGGAGGATGATGAGGCCGACCTGGGGGATGGATCCCGCAAGCACCATCGGTGCTCATACATCTTCGGGGGACCCCAAGGAGGTGATACCTCGGGAGAGCGGAAGCAATGGGCCCGAGCCCTATACATCGGGGAGATAACCAGGACTCCCGCCGACAAGAAGGTGAAGAGGGATCCCATCTTCTTCACTGATGCAGATTTACCACCGATGCCGCCTCCGCACAGGGACGCCTTGATGATCAAGATCGAGATCAACGACACTGTCATCCATCGGGTCCTGGTAGACAACGGGAGCTCCGTTAACATCATGTACTATGATACCTTCCAGGGGCTCGGCTTGGACAGAAAGGACTTGAACCCGGTAAGAACCCCGCTCTCAGGCTTCACTGGGGACTCCATTGAATCAGAAGGCAGTATAGTCCTCCCTGTGATAGTGGGCTCCGAGCCCTGCGTATCCAAGTTAAGTGTCGAATTCATAGTCGTACGCCTAACTTGTCCGCATAAGATCATCATGGGGAGGCCGGCCCTGGAGGACCTGAGGTGTGTGATATCCCAGGAGCACCTGTGCATGAAGTTCCCCACTCCGAATGGTGTCGGAGTTGCTAGGGGAGACCAGCGGATGGCTAGGAGCTGCTATCTAAAAGCTTGCAAGCAAATCGGCCAGAAGGACTTGAGAGTCCATACTATCAACAACAAGGCCATGAAGTATGAGGAGGGTCAGCTCCGTGCTGAACCCACTTCAGACGTGGAGGAAATCCAGATTGACCCTGAGAAACCAGAGCGGAAGGTCAAGATTGGAACCGGCCTCACGGCCGACTTGAGGGAAAAAATCATCCGAGTCTTGATCCTCTTCAGCGTTGTCTTCGCATGGGGGCCGGAGGACATGCCCGGCCTCGACCGAAGCATCGCTGTCCACCGGTTGGCGGTCAACCCGTCGGCAAAACCTGTTCAGCAGAAGAGAAGACATCTCTCCATCGAAAGGAGGGAATTCGTGAAGAAGGAGGTCAACATGCTCCTGAGTATCGGACACATTCGGGAGGTCCTATACCCAGTGTGGTTGGCGAACGTGGTCCTAGCCCCGAAGCCGCCGACCTGGAGGATGTGTGTCGACTACACCGACCTCAACAAGGCGTGTCCTATGGATCCGTTCCCGTTACCTAACATCGACCAACTAGTCGATGGGACGGCCGGGTGTGAGCTCCTTAGCTTCATGGACGCCTTTCGAGGGTACCACCAGATTTTTATGCATGAAGATGACGCGGAGAAGACCTCGTTCGTTACCCCGGAGGGAATTTTTTGCTATCTTGTCATGGCCTTCGGGCTAAAGAATTCCGGGGCAACGTACACGAGGATGGTGGCCAAAGTATTCCGGAAGGTGCTCGGAAGGAACATGGAAGCATACGTCGACGATATGATCGTCAAGAGCACCCAGGCGGCCGACCACGCAGATGACTTGGCAGAGATTTTCGGGATCATGAAGGCAGTGCGACTGCGCCTGAACCCAAAGAAGTGTACCTTTGCTGTCCAGGGAGGCAAGTTCCTAGGATACATGGTCACACGAAGAGGGATTGAGCCAAATCCCGAGAAGGTGAGAGCGATACTTGACATGGAGCCCCCGAGATCGGTGAAAGAAGTCCAGATTCTCACCGGTCGGCTAGCAGCCCTCGGGCGCTTCATGTCGAAGTCCGCTGAGAAATCATTACCTTTCTTCCAGGTCCTAAAGAAGCAAAATGGTTTCGTCTGGACTGATGAGTGCCAGCGAGCCTTCGAAGACTTGAAGAAATACCTCCTCTCCGAGCCTTTACTCAGCAAGCCGGAAAGGGGGGAGACGCTGATCCTGTACCTTGGGGTTTCTCAAGGCGCGATCAGCTCCGTGCTGGTTCGTGAAGAAGAAGGCGTTCAACGTCCCGTCTACTATGTAAGCAAAACCCTCCAGAATGCCGAGCTCCGGTACACCCCGCTCGAAAAGACGATCTATGCCGCTTACATCACCGCGAAGAAGTTGACACACTACTTCCAGGCGCATCCAATCCGAATCCTGTCGGAACAACCTCTAGGAGCAGCCCTGAGGGCGCCCGGCACAGCGCGGGTGGTGAAGTGGTCGATGCTCCTCAGTCAGTATGAGGTCGACTTCCAGCCTCGGACATCCATCAAGGGCCAAGCTTTGGCCGATTTCATCGTGGAGTGTACGGCCCGGGAGGTGACAGAGAAACAACAGGAGAGCGATGAGCAGTGGTGGACCTTAGCAACAGACGGGTCGGCCGGAGCAAAGGGATGTGGGGGCGGAATCGTCCTCATCTCCCCTGAGGGATTTCGGGCCTACTATGCCTACCGTTATCTTTTCAAAGTCTCCAACAACGAGGTGGAGTACGACGCCCTATTGTCCGGACTGCGACTAGCAGCCGCCATGGGAGCAGAATGGATAACGGTCAAATGTGACTCTCGGCTGGTCGTTTCACAGGTTAAAGGTGAGTTCGAAGCAAAGGAGGAAAGAATGACGAAGTACCGAGATGCTGTCCGGGAATTGCTCGGGCTGTTCAAGCAGGCAGAGTTGGTTTGCGTCCCGAGAAATCAAAACTCGGACGCTGATCTCCTCTCAAAGCTGTCCCAGGGGTTGCCCGAACACATTTCGAGAATTGCACGCATTGAGGAGATGACAACTTCAAGCATAGCAGCCTCACCGCCCGTCAACGTCCTCCCCTTGCAACCGGTCGCCTGGTGCTGGGTGGACGACCTCCTGCGTTACATCGCCGATGGGACGCTGCCTGACAGGGAGGATGAAGCAAGGCTAGTCCGCCGACGAGCTCCGGGCTACGTCGTCTTGGACGGGAAGCTATACAAAAGGTCCTACAATGGGACGTTGCTAAAGTGCTTGCGCCCGCATGAAGCGGACATGATCGTCTCCGAACTCCATGGGGGCGTGTGCTCCGCCCACCAGGGGGCATGCACGATTGCCAGGAAGGTTGTTCTCCAGGGTTACTTCTGGCCGACGATAATGCGAGACTGTGCCGATTATGCAAGGAGGTGTGAGACATGTCAGAAGTTCCAGAAGAGCCCCGGCCGGCCAGCGACGATGTACACACCGATCAGCACCGCCCTCCCATTCACGAGATGGGGCGTCGACCTGGTCGGTCCCTTGCCAACCGGGTCGGGAAACCGGAAGTTTGTAATCGTCGCGGTGGACTACTTCACGAAGTGGGTCGAGGCTGAGCCGCTCGCCAGCATCACACATCTCCAGTGTAAGAAGTTCATTTGGAAGAATATTTTTTGCCGGTTCGGAGTTCCCCTCCAAATAATATCCGACAACGGAAGGCAGTTTGACTGCGAAGCCTTCCGACAGTTCTGCGCAGAGTGGGGCGTAGAATCCAGCCGGGTGGCGGTTTGCTACCCTCAGGCAAATGGACAGGTGGAGAACACTAACAGGACGATCGTCGATGGGTTGCAAAAGAAGTTGGAGGCCCTCGGGATTGCCTGGGTGGAAGAGTTGAACAATATACTCTGGACCTTCAGAACAACCCCAAGGAAGGCAACCGGAGAGACCCCCTTCGCCTTGTGTTATGGCTTTGAGGCAAGGGCACCGTTCGAGGCCGTAGTCCCCAGCCGACGAATGGAAGAGTTCGAACCAGCTAGCAATGAGGAGAGGCTCCGAGCCGAGCTCCACCTCATTGAGGAAAGGAGGGACCGGGCCTTCGTCAAAGCAGAAAACTATCGACGCCAAGTCAAGGCGTACCAGGACAGCCGAGCCCAGCCCCGGAGTTTTGACGTTGGTGATTACGTCTTAAGGCGTAGGAAGGCCAGCAAGCCGGCGGAGGGAGGCAAACTTTCCATCAAGTGGGAAGGCCCATACGTGATTGATGCTGTGGTCGGACCCGGGACATACAAATTGAAGACGACAACAGGCCGGCTGGTAGATCGTGTCTGGAACGCTGAGCATCTGATGAAGTTTTATCAGTAGAGAACTGAAGTGTCACCTTTTCTTTATGAACTCCTGTGCTCTGGGCACAGGATTACAATTTGTAATTCTTCATGTGGTCCGCCCACATTATGAATTCAATATACTTTGCTAGCGATATTTTGCATTCAAAAGAGGTCCGACCTCACTTAGCAATTAAGGGCGGCGGCAAAAAAAAAAAAGATACTATGCCCCCCCTCGGTGTTTGGCCGACCTCGGTCAGGCTCTTGAACTGAAAATGGCCCATCGATTTTCAAGAATCCAAGCAATTTTCTAAAGTAAAGAGCTAACCGCGACGGTTGAGGCGATAGTAGGGCCGATCCCCGGGTCGGGAGCGCCCAAGGTGCCGACCTCTGGGTCCCCCCTTTGAGCGCTCGCAACCCGACATCGCTGGCCAAGCAGCTCGCACTCTCGCCATCTCCGAGTTGGCGGTGCGGGTCCGTTCTGGTGGATCATGCAGGGTCCGCCCCTGTTGTTTGGCTAACCCCGCGGGAGTAACCAGATTATTCCCCAAGTCCGGGCGAACTGGACGGGTCAAGGCGATAGTAGGACTGACCCCCGGGTCATGAACGTCGGGGTGCCGACCTAAGTGTCCTCCTTGTAAGTTCAATGTCCGACCTTGCTGGCCGAACAAGTCGCATACTTGTTGATTCCATATCAACAGCGAACAGATCACTTCTATCTGACCAGGAGGGGCGTGGATAGGCTTGGCCACGCCAGCCTAATCGCCCCCTGGGAAGTTAGAGAAGCCGGATCCCCGATTAAATTGCTTAAGTATTCGCAACGCAAAGTATATGAAAAGAAATGTGTGAATTAATTAAACATTCAGTCAAAACACGTGTACAAGTGGAAGACAAGGAAAATGCAAAATACAAAGTCATGGCAGGACATGCCCATCACCATTGGCCTCGGGAATCTCATCTAACATGGCAACCAAGTCTTGGCCGGACTCTTGAGCTCCCTCCTGCTGACCGGATGCAAGGGGGACCATGTCCTCCGAAGGTCTTGGAAAGAACCAGCACCATTCGTTCGAGTTACCGGACTCCTCCTCCTGGCGGTAGACTCCTGGGGGCAAGAGGGCTATTGCAGCTTCAGGTTTCTTCATGCGGGCAGGAAGACCTAGCACGGATGGATAGAAGTCAGGGCCGAGACCCTCCAACTGATCATACAATTTCTGCTGTGTCAGGTACTTGCCACTCTGAAAGGCGTACAGAACTTCACGAGCATGCCAGTACTCCCCCTCGTCAGTCTTCAGCCACTTATTTACTAAGTCAGATTCCTTCGCTTCCACTCTGTCAGATATGGTTTTCTGGAATTCGTCGGAGGCCTTGAACTCGAGAATCGCCTTCTTGGCCACTTCTTCACGCTCTCTTGCATGCAAAAGTTGTAACTCGGAGAAGGCTTTCTCCCTAGCCTGTAGGGCGGCTCTAACTTCATCAACCTCACGCTGGAGCTTTGCTTGAGAATGGTTGGCTGCCCAAAGTGCCCCAATGGTCTTAGCAAGTCCCTGCGAAACAAAACAAACAAAATATGATGGAATCGAGGGGTAAAACAAAGTATGCCGGAGATGTGATCGGCCACTCACATCAACATGGGTCCGAATGGAACCCTCCAAGAGGGGTTGAAACCCCTGGGAGGTCATACGTGCGAGGTCACCCGGCGGCAAGATCGCTGAAGCATAGTCCACAACCGGGAAGCCCTCGTGCATGATCGAGGCACTCGGAGATGGGAATGTGTAAGCAACTGTGTGCTGAGTCATCCTCTCACCAGCATCTTCATGCACCGGCCCGGTGGATTGGAATTCCGGGGTGACAGTCGCCCCCTCCAAAACATGCCCCTCTCGGCACGGGGGGGCTCCGTGCCCTTTCCCCGCAGCGACCTGGGGGAGCACAGGAGCAGCGGCTACATGAGGCTCCACCTCCTCGTCATCAGACTCATCCAATTCGACCAGTAAGTCGACAATATCCCTCTTCTGCTTCTTCTTCGCTGGTGCGACAGGCTGAGGCCCAAAGGTAACCCTCACCCTCCTCGGAATCTGTGCTACACGGTTTGGGGGAGCTCCACGCTCTTTTTCCTTGGTGGCTGTGGGAATTGCACGAGCGATGAATGGCTGGGCCTCTTCGTCATCGTCATCAGATTCGGCACCGACGATAGGTTTCTCAGGCCTATCAGGCACACCTGCGGAAGAAAAATGTGAGGATGAGAAAGGTGAAATACAGAGTAGCCAAACCTAAAGTGAGGGAGTGACGATCACCTAAGTATGAGCTGATGGAGCGGGGACCGCCTGTGGACAACATCTCGATGGATGACTTGAGGTCAGGGGAAAGGGCGACCCGATCACACTTCCGGAGCCGCTCACCCCACTGAAATGGAGGTGACAGAAGGGTGGGGTCGGACACCCAGATCCACCTCTTCTTCCATCGGCTACCTGAGTCAGGGTAACCCGGCCGGAATAGCTTGCTCACCGGCCTCTGGGAAACTGAGGCAAAAAAGCTGGAGGCGCGCCACTGGAAGCAGCTAAAAAACAAACTGATTGTGGGGGTGAGGCCCACATCCTCACATCGCGCTACAAAAGCTGCAACGAACATATGAGCCGCCGGAGCCAGTTGGCCCGGGGCCACACCTAAGAAGAGAAGGAACCGAACCAGAAAAGGATGCAGAGGCACAGCCATCCCTAACTCCAGAGAGCGAATATGGACCCCGAAGTAATGGACTGGGGGATCACTCAGTACCTCAGTAGCCTCCGGAGTTCTCAATGAACAATTGGCACCGATCAGGCTGTAGGCAACGGCAAGGTCCTCGTCCTGGATATGAGGGGAGAGGTTCGCCACCCCGCTATTATCGAGGCCCCACCAAAGATTCGGGTCCTCCCGAGCACTCGAATCCTCATCAGAATCTGACACGACCACATGTTGCGCTCGTGCTCTATTTGGAACACGCAGTTGCTGGCTATCAGGAGTAGTGGCCCGCCTAGCTGGTGCCATCTCTGGGAAGACGTCGACCTGCTGACCAGTGGCTTCCCCCGCAGGCGTATGTGGTCGAGCGCCACGGCTAACCCGCACAGGCCTCGCGGCCACCCCACGCTTTCCTTCTGTGATGGCTGGTAGTCCCGAGTCTGATGGCTTGGGGAGGGGCTCGGCTACAACTTGCATGGCTGAAGGGGAGTCTTGGCCGCCGTTTTTATGGGGAAAGCGCCCAATGCCTTGCATGATTCAAGAGCGGAAGGGGAAGCCAAACCTGCAAAGGCAAAACAAAGAAGTAAAACAACCAAGCGCCGGGCGACGCGGAAAGAAGACCCAGTCTGGCTCATCGCCCAACTAGGGGGAGGGAACCGGCACCACCGGCAGCCGGCAGTAAGGTGGACCCGGTCATCATACGCGTGCATGGATTTCCGCCAACCCAAGGAGGGAGAGAACACGGTGGCAGCTCTCCGAACAGCCTGAGCGCCGGAGAGATGGACAAGTAGGGCGCCCAGCCGCCGGGAAGCCTACCTCTGGGAGACGCCGACCGGCAGGGGGTGGCCGCCGGCCCATGCGAGGCACACCAGCCGGACGCGGTAGTAGGCCAGACCGGCCGACCAGGCTTGCCGGACTGCCAGGGCGGCATCGTCACCGGTGGGCGACGCGGGACAGCCACCTAGTACGGCGGGGTCGACCCAGTGGAGCCGCCGGAGGAAAAACGGCGGTCAGCCCACTCAGATCGGCCGGCCAGATGTGCCGGACTGTCAGGCCGGACTCGCTCAGACCGGTGGACGGCGCGGGACAGCCGCCTAGCACGGCGGGGTCAACCCAGTGGAGCCGCCGGAGGGAAAGCGGCGGTCAGCCCGCTGCTTGGGTTGACTGCGGCGCTGAGGCAGTGCGGGCGACGCGAGGAAGACGCGCGCAGGAAACCAGGGGAGAGAAGAGAAAAGAAAGGAAAGAAAAAGAAAGGAAAGAAAAGAAAAGAAAAGGAAAGAAAAGAAAAGGAAAAAAGGGGAAAAGAAAAAAAAAGGAAAGAAATTTAGTCCGAAAATAATTACAAAAAAATAATTATGATGAATTTCAGGAATTTTCGGAAGCTGACCTGGATTCTGAAGCCTGGAAGAAAGCTGACTGTTGGAATGCTGGGATGCTGAGGGAATTAATTTGAAGCCTTTTTAAGCTGAGAGCTTTATTTAAAATTGGAAAATTTCCATAAATTGTGGATTTGACAGAATCCGCAATTATTGCTCACTGGTATGTGAATATTTTCTAATTGACGGCTGACTTGGACTACTCCCTCTTAGCCGAGTCTACTACTCGACTAAGGGAGTGGGGGACTCGTGATGGGATTATGGGACTAGGCCCAATGCCTAATCAGACTTGGCCCCAAACTTGGATCAGCGGGTCCAAGCCCACGGCTGTTGTCTCGCCAGGCAAGCCCATCTAGTGAACCCAGCGATCAGATATCAGGTCGACCCAACCGACCGGGCCCATCAGGGAGTGGAAGTCCGGCGGAGCAGAAGCCCAAGACGGCCTGCCTACCGGCCCAACCGGAAGCCCGTCTTCGGTCTAGCGAGGAGCCTGATTCCGGCCCAGCAGAAGCCTGTCGCCCAGGGAGCCCGAGCGCCCAGCCTGCCAGCCAGGGAAGAGCAACGGCCAGCCAACCAGAGAAGAGTAACGGCCAGGCATTAATACGATATTTATTTATGTGATTAATTATGTATTAACATGGTAATTAAATTAGCCATTATAACGTTTGGCAGTTACCATTTGTAATCGCCTATATAAGGCAAGTTGGATTCAAATAATGGAGAAGTTATTTCTGGCTATCAAACTCTCTAGCTACTTTCCTTATTCGTATTGCTTTCCTGATTTCTGCTTGAGTGTCCTTACGTAGCTTTCCTAAAAGCCTACGAGCGTCCTATTTTGGACCAACAATTACGATAATTCCTTAAACACCTAGTCTTCAATTAAATACGTAGTATGAAATAATGACCTAGATATTACCTATGGACTTTGCATTGTTATCAGATTTAACCAATGTTAGTGTTACAAAACGGCTGTAAGTGGAAAGTGTGTAACTTTTAGCATTATAAAGTCACAACAATTTGTATACCAGATAAAATTAAATCAAGTAGTCAGATTGTCATAAAATAACTATCACTTTTTTTATTTTGAAATCTTTTTAGTTATTAAAAGCTAACAACATGGGCAAATGGTAGAGTCTAGGGTGGGCTCCCACATAAAATCTAGCTCGTGTTCTAATCTGAAACTCGTTAAATCTGGGTCGTTAAATTTGATTCGAAATCAAGCTCGAACTCAAGCAGTTAAAAAAAACTCGATTCGATATTAACCTTAAGCTAAACCTTGTGTGCAGTACATGTTTTTTTACTGTTTAGCCCACTCAATCTTTCATTTCTGGATCCGTTAATGATTAACTATCTAATATATTTATAAAAAATATCTTTTCAACTATGCTTGTCAAACATATCTTTAATAATATTTAAATTTGTCTAGAACTTATCCAAAATTATGTATGAGATTTTTACAAAAATATTATTAAAATAAAACTTATTTACACAAATATGACTATTAATTACTACAATATAATATTATAGTAACTCAAGTTTAAAAGTTGAACATAAGTTACTATGATTTCATTAATACTCTAACCACCTAAACAACTTTCATTTTAGTCACAAATATATGTAATTATTTCATTATTATATACAGAAATTGCCCTAAATAGGAGCAAAAACGTTTTGAAATTCCAAAATAGGAGTATCATGTTTTTTATTCCCTGAATATGAGTAATCTTCCAAGTTTGGAAAAAAATGTCATGTTAAAAGCCTTGTAATGCCAAACTTGACAGAAATTTACTCCTATTTAGGAAATAAAAAACATGATACTCCTATTTTAGAAATTCAAAACATTTTTACTCCTATTTAGGGAATTTTCTCTATTATATAATCATACAACTCATAACATTAAAGTCATCAAACTGTAAAGTCATCAAACTTTTTTTTTTGACTTACAAGTCATTAAAGTCATTAAACAAACCATTGGCATTCTCAATTTCTTCCCACCAAAATTCTGTCTCGTGACCCCAGCTCCTTCCAATGGCGACAGCTTCCTTCAAATCTACTTCCAAACGACAAACCACAAATCCCAATTCCAGGGAAAACCCCACCCCCTCTTCCTGCTCCTCCAAGCCGCTACGACGGAGATCCTCAAGCGTTAGCTCCGTTTCTCGGATTTCCAGTCAACATGCTTCATCAGAGTTTTCGAACAAGAGAGACAATCCTTTGTTCTGGACCTCGAACTCTCCGCACATTGATCAAGTCGAAAATCCAAAAGAAATCGGAAATGATAAAGAAAAGGAGAAACCCCCCTTTGATGGATTTAGTATCGGCAAAGTTACTCCGGGTTCTGCCAATTGCAGTACTAACATAGAGATTGAGAATAGAGGACGATCTACAAGTAGAAGGTCTGGGAGTGATAGGAATGGGATTGGACGTAGTCTTTCGCGTGTACGCTGTCGTTCTGCGTCTAGAGGGCACTATGGATCTCCTCACGAGGTTTTGGTTCAGACTTCTCATCTATTCCGTTGATTGATGTCCATCCAGGAGACGTCTTTGTGTATATTTGAATGTTTCACGGTTTTCCTCATTTAAAACTCCAGCTTTTGTGTGTAGAAGTTTCATTCTCATACACCCACACGAAATGATCATATATGTGATTTTCGCATTCAATTGATTATGTTAGTGCAGAGAAAATAATTCCCTAAATAATTAATTAGTTATTAATCAAACTCTGTGGACAGAGTCACTGATTAGGCTGCTAAGAAATAATAACATATACTAGTACTTCTTATAAGTGTAAAAACTAAAGATGACAGACAAAGACATGACTTCTGATACCAAATGACTTTATTAGTTACTTTTAGCTACTATTTTTATGTTTAGTTCTTACGCCCCAGTGGTCATGAAGTTATGCATATAGTAACTTTAGTCACTTTTTGCCTATTAGTTTGTTAGAGTAATATTTTGGGGGAAAACTCGTGCTAATTACACTATCATTAAAAGATAATAGGAACCAAGAGAACTGGTATACCACAAACTCCACTCATTACTGGGGTTTAAGATTGATTAGGGTGTCATCTTTTGAGCTGCAACTGCACATCAACCTTTGCAAGGCACCTTAGACAATGCACAGCAAGGCACTGCAGACAAAGCTAGATCAAGGCCCAAGGAAGTAATTAATATACTCCATCCATTCCAAAAACAACTTCCCAGTTTGACTCACGCATATATTTATGCAAGATAAAGTTTTGTTTTAAATTTCTAATTATTTTCCATACTTTATGACAAATCAAGTAAAAGAAATGGTAGTTATGACGTTTGCTATTGAAAATATATTGTTAATGGAAATGAGAAGTTTATTTTGTGATAACCACATAAGGGAAGTGGAAAGTTGTGTTTGGGACACAGGTAGTAGTAGGTAATAAAAATTATAAGTTAATAACGTCGACCATAAAGAGATATAGAATTAACTCTAATAGTACTAGTAATATTATGGTTATTATCAGTGGGAAATTGTTATTTTTTAAGTTACCTTGAGAAAATGTGAAACTATGTACTCAGTCACTCTGGATATCCAATTACTGTTGGATATTTGGTTCCAAATAAGGATAGACTGAAACATCGATGGGATATGTTCATATGTCCCATAGTTCCCATAGATGTCCCTTTACCTAATGACAAATTTAAACATTTAATTGATTGACACAATGACACTTGTCATTCTAACTATTTATTATTTAATTATGGATAATTATTATTGCAAACTACACCCGAGTGTATATTCAGGATAGTGAAGCAAACATGGAAGGCCCTTACTCCTTAGAAATATGCCTAAAATGGAAGATACTTATGAGATAGATATAATTGTATACATTGAATTGTTTTATTATGAGTTATGACTTATGAGGACTGAGATGATAAGCACGAAGGTTGTAGCAATGAATAGTGAAAATAAGACTTATGATTACACACTAGCTCAAGTGAAATTGTAGAATATTGTAAAATTTAAGTTTCAATTTTGAACTATGGTTTTGTTATGGTTCCGTATTATTATTTTTGTTGTCCTTTTTATTGTTGTTCTTATTACTCCGTATTTATTATCACTCCATCTCATTTCAAGGTTCTTTGTGAAATTTATGATGATTGTGTGATGATAAATTTAACCCTTCTCTGAAAGTATTCAATAGCATGTGTGTGTATGTATTGGTATTAATAAATCATAATTAAAATATACATACAGTGACTACCCTAGAAGCTCTATTTTATCCCAAAAACTTTAAAAATTATCATACAACAAATAGTAAAAGATAATTTAGCTGAATGCATGAGTAGTGTATGAGAACCTTAAAGTGGGACGAAAGAGTATTATTATTGTTGTTGTTGTTGTTGTTGTTATCATTATTCATTTTTCAAATGAATAATAGAAAAGTGTACAATGGAGTTGTAATAACACACCCATAGTTAGAACCACGTTCTAAAAGTAGGCTTAGGTGGCTGAACAGTTTCCCTTTGATCTTTTGCTCCCTATTCTTGGTGGGTGATGCACACAAATAGGTGCTAGGAGGAACAGGTTTCCGATTTGGCCCAAGCCTAGGCGGCCTGGCACCACTTGAGCACCTGATTAGTGCGTAGTAGGTTTTACAATAGTACTCAAAGATAATGGGTGTTTTCCTTTTACTTATTATGACAGAACATGATGCATTTATAGTTCAAGCACAGTGAATATTAATTTTGCCTACTTTATGACTTTAATAGTCTAATAAATTATCAGAGTGAAAGGGAGCAAGAGCTGCTTTTATTAAAAGCTACTAATCAAAGAAGAGAGCTAAACCATGTTGCCAATAGTTCCAGAGGATCTGCACTAGTTGAAAACGATACAGACACGCACCAACGAGTTTCTGGCTCACAAATAGCAGCTGTTCGAGGTAAAGGAACTGAGCTTTCAGAAGATGATTCTAATGTAAGTATAGTTTTCACGCTCATGATTAGAAATTATATACTACCTCCGTCCCGTTGAAAGGTTCTCATGGCTAAACGGCACAATTGTTTAGATAATAATTATATAAGGTAGTTCAATTATATTTTGAGAAATAGTTTTAGTTGGTATATAATATAATGGGGTTAGTGTTGATAATTGTGATGATATAAATGTATTATTTTTAATATTTAATGATTATTTGTCATTTAAGGTTGTTAATTGTTTCCTAAAATGGAAATGAGAACCTTTATATGGGACGTCCAAAAAAGGAAAATGGGAACCTTTTTATGGGATGGAGGGAGTAATTAGTAGGAGCGTCAAGATAATGTCACTTTGGGCAGACTTAATGCAATATATTAATAGAAGTGTGTCTTGTCAGTATAGCGTGCAAAATTCAACCGGGGAAGATGGAATTTCAACAGGTTCTTTGTCTGAAGCAGATGATAAAATAATCAAAGCATTTGAGCAGGTGAAGATGAGGTTTTGTCTTTTTGATGTCCTTTAGGGTGCATCATATTATACCTCTGCTAAAGGAGAATAAACTTACCTCCATTTGTGACCAATTGAAGAAATACAGTTTTTTTTAGATTTACTTTGATGTGAAGCAGAACCTCAAAATTTCAACATTCATGATGAGCTTTTGTCTAATTTATTTTAATTAAATTCCAGTCTTTTAGAGATGGCCAGTGGGATAATGATACTGCCGCTAGTGGAATATATGAAGCTGTCCGGGCTGAAGTGAGACGTGCTATGAGTGATATTCAAAATGAGCTTGAAAGTGTAAGTTCTGTTATGGTAATTATAAATAAAATAATCAACCCTTAAGCTTTCAATTGCATGTTAAGTTGCATGGTAGCAAATGCATTAGTAAATAAACTAAGAATTACAATCAAGTAGTTGGGTTAAATCAACTGGGCATTAGGGTTACGCCTTACCCCCTCTTCCCCCATTCGTAGCACTTTATGCAACCTGCTATAATTGTCTCCCATAGATCATCTTCTCCTATGTAGATCTCCAACAAATGCTTTTTCATGTCATCACCAAGTGATACAAAAATCTGGTAAATGTGAAAAGCTAACATAGCATCAAATATCCAGTACTGCTGTTTCAGTTATTCTTGATCCCCAGTATTTTTGATGAGCCCAGGCCTTATTTTCCAACTTCATGTTAGAATATACTTCATTTTCACCACAATTATGTAGCATGGGTCTGCCATATGTCTTATCTATGATGATCAATGAGCAGACAATGTCAGTATGTCTTTGTATTTTTTGGAAGACCCTTCCATGTTAGTGGCTTTCAACATTATTTGTTACTTACTGTATCAGTTAATCTATGGTACGTCTTCTTCTTGTGCAGCTGTACGTTATCTTATTGACCTTATTTTGGGAGTTTGTTCAGGTTATGCGAAGGAACAGTGCTAATGCCATTTCAACCAATAGTGGTGCTGATATTCCTCCAAACATGAACCCTGGGGCTGCTGAAATTATTTTGAACATCAGAAGGGAATATTCCAGAAAACTTCAGGAGGTTAATAATCTTTATTCTATCAGAACTGCTGGCATTTAAATTAGTTCATTAATTGTGTGGATCTATCTCTATGTATGTATTGAGTGGAGAGAAATGTTAAAAGACCATGTTCATTTGTTTATTTAGTTCTTCAAAGAAAATATACTACTATACTCTCATAATCCCCTTTTGTTACATCTGCATCCTTTTCAGTCCATCTCAGAGTTATATTCAGTTCCCAAGTCTAAACACTACAATCTTCTTACTTTTCTCAAGCTATGTTTCATCGTATCTATTTTTTCACATTTCACAATGACTGCCATTTCACAATAACTACAATCTTCTTACTCACATTTCACTTTATCCCAATTTATGGATTTTATGCTTGATCTTATGATCTTATTTGTTTTCTTCACATATCACTTAATGGGTCCCATTCTTCCTTTTTCTCCAAACGGTAAAACTTGGAAAAGAAATAAGTCAATAACATATCCTTCACTTTTCTCTTTAAAATGGCATGTTGGAACCGCATGCATGGGCGGATCTATGTTGGGGCAGGGGTGGGCTCCAGCCCAGCCCAGCCCAATTTAATATTATTATTATAGGTATAAGTTTAATTTCCAGCCCACCGCAAAACTAATGTCTAGCCCAGCTCAAGCCTACCAACTTTGTAATTCTATTTGATTATTAATTGAATTTTTTCAGTAGATAGTAAAATAGTTTCTATTTATCATTATAAATTTATAATGATTAAAGATAGAATTAAAGATTAGAAAATGATTTATTTATAATGAAATTAAAGAATAGAGAACGATGTATTTACTGTTTAGGCATGTAAGAATGGATTCAAAATCTCAATTCAATTTTAAAATTGGGAATACTTATTAGTTTTATGTACATCGTCTATTTTTACTTATTAGTTTTATACTTTTATAGAAGTATTTTAATTCATATCAATAAATACTAAAATCTTTAATAATCAATAATAAAATTATAAATCACACTAAAAACGTTTAAATTTTAGATATGCTACCTCTGTCTCATTTTATTAAGCCATCTTTGACTCTTTACTCAAAGATGGTAAACTTTGATCCATCATTTTAACTCATGTATTAATGTGAAACTTACTAAATTTATACTTTTATGATAAACTTTTTAACAAAGAACATTTCCATTTCATTGTCATATTATCAATTTTATTGTATAAATATATAGTCATTCAGAGTTTAACTTCTTTGACTTGAAAAGTCAAATTAGTCTTAATAAAAGTCAGAGGTAGTATATAGTTTATTTCTATAATTTATAAGTTATGAATATGCTCGAGTCCAGATCGAACTGAACATGACTATGCTCGAATTCAGCTTGAATAACTATTCAAACTCAAAAAAATAATGGCCGCTTTTTTTGTAAAAACAAACTATTTAAACTAAAATTTAGCCCGTGTTCGAGATTGAAGCTCGTTAAGCTTTGGTCATTAAATTAAATTCGAAATCACGATCGAACTCGAGTAGTTCGAAAAAAAACTCAGTTCAATAACTATCAGTCCTAAGCTAAACCTTTTGTAAGCAATAACGAAAATTTTTACTGCTTAGCCCACCTCACCCCTCATTCCTGGATCCGCCTCTGACCGCATGTTTATTTTTTCTATGTACCACTTCTACAGAGATATCTTATCTTTTATTTTCATCTTTTTATCTTTTTAAACTCCGATTTTTTATGTCTATTCTTGTTAGTCCCCCGAACTCTTTTGGGACTAAGGCTTGGATGTTGTTGTTGTATTACTTCTATAGAGATATAGAGCTACTGCTGTAGCACAACTAGCACATATATACAGATTATTTATTATACCACCTCCAAGTGTCGTGACACCAGAGTTTTTTAGAATGACCTCCCTCACGTAACATGTCTCTATTTACCCTATCTTCGTTATCTGCATCTGTTTACCCCCAATTTTTGCTGAAGTTGACATTTCACATTTTATTTTGCAGTCTCAAGAAAGGACTAGACAGTTGAAAGCAGATTTGGCTGTTGAAGAGAATCATGGACAAGAGCTAAATAGAATCCTCGAGGAGATAGTACCTGATACACAAAAACTCATATCTCCCCAGAGATCGCGAATTGCAAGAAGAGTATGTTAATTTGAGTTAGCTATTTTCTGTCCTTCGACTCTCTACTCTGCACTCTACCTCTCCAGGGGGGATAATGTTTCAGTAATGCTGGGGGGTTGTGGGAAAGAAGAAATGGAATTAAGTGGATGTCGTGTGTCAGTAGCTGCTAAGTATCTTACACCTTCCATGGGTTATTTCATACCGATTACTTAGCTGAAATTCAGATCTAGATTCAAAGTTTTTATGTTGGGCCCAATTCACCCTAAAGAGGATCCTCCAGAGCTAAGATTTGTCTGACATTTAAGTAAGTACTAGACTCAAACTCGGTAGACAACTCATGTGGGAATGTGGGATACACTATAAAATGATCCCAGGGGAATTTATATAAGTAGTAGGTGTGTTGATCTCGTGTTTGTTTGACCAATACTAAAACCGCCCACCATGCAGCTCAGAAACAAAAAACCCAATAGAACCTTTCACACCTTTCCTTCAGTGTTTGTTACACTGATATCTCCCTTCTGTTCTGAGATTACAGAATCAGTGCCATCATTTTTCTCCCTCTGACATTAATGGCTGTGCTTAAGAATCCATTTTTCTGAATGGTGTTGTTCTGGCGCTGTGAAGATTTGTTTTATGTGCGAAAAAATGCGGATATACGCAATTATCAGAACATGCATTTGAGCTATTCAACTGTGTCTTTTCCAGTCATCAGAATTCAGATGATTCTTGTATGTAGAAGTGAAGTAGCAGGTCACTACACTAAGAATGTTTTTGTCATAAGAGAGATGCTATATAAGCCAGTGCTCCGTGCCTCCATATATAACTTTTCAGTTGTTATAAGACCGACATCCATAAGACGTGTAGGTCTATATGAATTAAGATTCTGATAACTCTCTTTTGCCACAGAGGAGCAATGAAAGAAAAAAAATGTCTCAGCGTCTCACTGAAGAAGCAATGGCATACTTTGATCACTTTGATGAATGTGTATCCATATCAACTTTTGACGGCTCTGACTTCTCTGCACCTGAAGATCCACCTCACAGCTCAAATGAAGCTACTTTCTCAGACAGCAAGAGTCAACTGGAACCCCAAGGAAGCATGGAATGCTTTTCTGGGAATAAACAGGTTTTCCCTTGACTGATGCTCTATTGTTGTACAATGCATTTTGCTAGATGATTACAAGTTTTGAGCTAGATGATTACAAGTTTTGAGTTAGATATATATGCTTGCTTGTGTATCAGGATATTCTTTTTCTTTATTACACATCTGAGTCTTACTTACAATCCATGGTGTGGAGAGTTGTTGTTTTTTCTTGCTACCTAGTGAAGTATCATTTGAACTTTATTGCAACAGTTATTTGGGCTGTGGCTTTATTTCTACCATGCTTTGGTAATTTATACATCACCACTACGGCGAGTATCACTTTTTTGGAATCCTCCCTATCAAGTTTGCCTCCTTAAATGTTCCGTAAATGTGGTTCAATATGTTTGTTACAACTTACAACACTGAGTTTTCATACCAAACAAAATGGTAATGTATACTATAATAAACAAAGCGCTGCAGAAATTGATATACTCAAGTAGGAGAATGTTCTCCTAAGGTAGGGCTAAAACTTAAATGTTTTAGGTCTCTTTCATTTGAGATACTTCCTGGTTGAATATTTTTATGAAATTTTGTGAGCATGTTCTCCATGAAGTTTAGATTATCTCCACCAAATTACATATCAAAATTCAAACAAGAAGTCAGGTAAATAAATTATTGAAAAAAATTGCATTTTATATATATAAAAAACTGCACAATTTTCAATAATTTATTTATCTTACTTCTGGATTGAATTTTAAATTGAAATTTGGTAGGCATAGTCTACCCTTTATTGAGAACATGCTCACAAAATTTTATCAAAAAATTCGATACACAAACACTTCAAATGAAAGAGGCCTAAAACTTGAAGTTTTAGGCCTACCTTAGGAGAACATTACCCTATTCAAGTAATCTTCTTTAGAGCTTATCATTGTCATTCATATGTTTTAAATTAGAAATACTCAATGCTTATGGTCAGTTATTACTGTTGCAGGTATTCCGTGGCATTGGTCAATTATCATTCATGCATGAATTACCAAAATCTGCCGAAACAGATGATGACATTAGGAGCTGTATTAGGCATTTTGAAAGAGAAACAACACCTAAAGGTGCAATTAGTGCTGAAATTCTTGCATCAAACTCGGATCCTAGTGCATACAAATTGAAAGGACAAATAGAGAATATATGGTTTCATCGAGTGCTTTACAACAAAAGAATAGATTCCGGGGGTTTGCTTCTTTGTGGTGGCGGCATTGCGACTGCTGGTTTTCCCTTTGGTCCTTGAATTTGAAAAATTCAATGACATAAATGAGTTTATTGTATGTTTTTACATTTAAGCAAAAGGAAAACTAAAGAGAATAAAGGAGTCATTCTTTTGGACTATAATTATCTAGTTTGATTTGGGCAGTCTCATTTTAGTTGTAATATTATTTGTTCCTCCATAGAGGAAATATACTCTGTATGTATGTATTATTATTCCACTGATTTTTACTTGCCCACTTCCCTTTGTGAAATTTCGATTTTTTTTCATATTTCCTGTGCAATTACTGAAAGGTGTAAATGCCAATCTATATGTTTTTGTTAAATTACGCCTAAGATTTATGATTTTGAGTTAACTGGTTGGAGGTAAATATACACACTATTGCCTTCGTCTGTCAAAATTTTGCCAAGTTTGTGTGATATGGAATAATAACGTAAAAACTTTATGATTGATGTTTGTATAGAGGAGATAGCAACGATAGGAACCACAAATTGATTGATTAAAAGAGAAAATGACAGTTTTTGGGACAACCAAAAAAGAAAAAATGACAAAGTTTTAAGAGACGAATGAAATATGAACGCTACATGTCTACATGATATAGTTGATCATATATTCAATCTGGCCTGAGGCATAGTTTACATGGTGGGATGAGGGTGTCACCATTGAGAGGATTGAGTTCAAGTTCAAGTAAAAAATTGAGTTGGATTTCACTCTATTTTTATCGGTGTGTGATCAAAGTAGTTCAAATTATATTCTTTAAGATAACTGTCCGACTAGCTCTATAGGTCCTTATAGATGAGGACATGAGGTGTCTCATATTTAAATTTTCACTTACGCTTTTTAGGATGTCTTATGCTAAAAGACATTTATACCCCAACTTACCTTTGATCATTTACCTCAATCTTTTGATTTTATCCCTTGTTACTTTTTGTGGTAAAGAGTATAAGAGGAAAGTCAATAAAAAAATATTATTATATATGAAAACTTGTGAAGTTAAAATGTGAACTTAAACATGGGACGAGTATTAGAGATCATAATTACACATAATGGTTTTTTTTAACATCAATATTTGCATTTTTGAATTATTCAGGGAAACAACATGGAAAATACTTATTATGAAATTGTAAAACAATTTATTTAAATAAATAACATGTTTAATTCATTTTTTGCAATTGTATTTTAATACTAACCTTCAACTGAATGCAATTGTAAATTAAAAAAATAGAATTATAAGTATAACTAAAACATTCGTGCTAAAGCATAATTATAAGGTCATACAACTAACTCACCTGCAATTGGTTGAACTATCTCGACTAGGGGTGAGCATGGAACGGTACGGGACGGTTATTTCAAAAAACCTGTCCCTTCCCAAAGTACGGTTCTTTTAAAAATCAAGAACCGGTACCGTCCCGCACATATATGGAACCTGTCCCGTTCCGTACCAATTTTCAGCACGGTTCGGTACGGTTCGGTACGGTTCTTCGGTGTTATTTGGTTCATAAATAATTAACCCCCATGAAATATAATTAACCTATTTACATAGCATTGTTTATATCATTTAGTATTGTTTGTGTTTTAAAGCTAACTTTTAGTGCCGTCAAGTCTTAATAATTGGATTACGCCCAAAGAATTTGCCAGATTGCATATTTGTAACATATGGACATACGATTCCTGACACTTATACTTGGTAATATGTTATATATAATATACGTAGTATTATTAGTTGGTCACTAACATTTATACTTGGTAATATAATATGTTATATTTTATAAATTTATATGTTACATATAATATACTAGTTTTCGGGACATATGGTCACTAACATTTATACTTGGTAATATATTATGTATAATATATTATTATAATCTAACACTAGTTTTCGGGGCAATTCGGGACAGTACGGGATGGTTTGGGATAATACGGTTCCGGGACGGTTCCGGAACGGTTCTCACTAAGAACCGGTACCGTACCATATTATTAAAAAAGCTCGGTACGGTACGGTACGGTTTTACATTTTTCCGGTTCTACCGGTTCTGGAACGGTTCGGAACGGTTTTTCGGTACGGGACGGGAATTCCCAGATCCGTGCTCAGCCCTAATCTCGACGCATAGAGAAAGCTTCTATAGTTCTGACTAGGGGTGGACTCGGGCCAGGCGGCCCGCCCTGAAACTGGCCCGAACAGGTTACTGTTTGAACCGCCCTGAACAGTCGGCCCGGCCAGGGACCAGTCCGGGTAGGCCTGATCCGCTGGGGTTCCGGGCCGGGCTCGGGCCCCTCAAAAGGTGAACCGGCCCGGCCGCTTCGGGCCTGGTCCTAGCCAATTTATTATTTTTTTCTTTTGTTTTTGATTTTTTTTTAAGTTTTTGGGTTGGGTATTTTGGGCCATTTGAGGTGGTTTGAGGTGGTTTGGGGGTGAGGGGGAAGGGTTGGGGGTTAATTAGGAAAAGCCAAAAAAAATATAAATTGAACCGAGGCCCGGCCCGGCCCGACCCAGACCCGGGGGTTACCCGGGCCGGTTCCGGGCCTCCCCTTTCATGAACCGAGGCCCGGCCGGGCCCAGGCCCGAACTGGGCCCGAACCGGCCCGAGTCCACCCCTAGTTCTGACCGAATGCTCTTCATTTACAATCTTGCAGAGAAAACATCAAACTAGAATCATCATTGATAATAAGAAGGGGATGCCATCTAAAAATTATTAAAATTTGTTTCACGGACATGTTTCAAAAACGTATGAAATCCATAAAGGTTTGTCAGAGCATTTTAACTTTTAAGCCCAAGGAAGCATACATAATGTTGTGGATATTGGGAAATGAGCATGACAAAGGAACATCAATGGGAGTAGCAGATAAACCGTGACAGTGAATGTTACTATCTCACTCCCCGTCTATCTTCATCATCACACGTATGTTCCGAAATTGGTGCAAATCACAAAGAAACTCCATGAATATAGATGAAGTTTACAATTGTGGCTGTAGAACAAAATTGGGAGACGAAATACAACTCTTGAGACGGTGAGTAATCACACATCTATCATCCCTTACATATTTTAACGGATTGATCAATTAATGAAAACTGGTTATATGAGAAGAAAATGAGAACACTAAGGAGTCTATGTAATTACATACATCACTTACCGTAAAAAATAAGGAGGGCAGTGATGAAATGAAAAAACTTAAACGCCGTGAAGGTCAGATTAATTGGTTAACTAATGATACATATATACATCCTATATCTTTATATTATACTCCCTCACTCCCTTAAAACTTTGCTAACTTTCATTTTTTGGATATCCCACTAACTTTGTCACTTTTCTTTTTAAGTAAAGAATTTGTGGTTCTAGTTAATTCTCTCTCTTCTGCACAAACATCAACAAAGTTGTAAGGTATGAAGGTAGTATGTACAAAAAGAATATGGTGGAATTCCAAATAGAAATCTATTGGAATCCCAAAGAAGTGATAATTTGTTGTTTTTTTATTATTAAAACATGTCTCTATTCATATCAAAAGATTCAGGATCATTACATCAAACAAAGGGAAAATAAATCTGACACCAACTAAACTCCAACAACTACGACTGTAAACCCCATGATCAGACTTTGAGACGGTCACCCCGGAAAGAGCAACACGAATCGCTAACCATGTATTGGGCTTGACGCAGCCAAACCTGTTCCCATAGATTCAAACATACCCAATGACATAAAGAGAGGCTAAAAACTCAAACAAACTATCAAAACCAACAACTAAGATGGATACAAGAAAACAAATGACAAACAGATAAAAAATACTAGGGAAATCGAAACTTTCACGGACTCTAGCACCTCGTACAACCCATGATGGTGGTTCAAGAGGAGGTCTTACCACCGGTACCATGCTAATTGATGCTCCATTGTCAAACGCAATCTGGCCTACTCGAAGTCCTTGCAACACTCCTCGTCCCTAGGGGGTGGACTCGGGCCGGGCGGCCCGACCCGGTCACTGTTTGAACCGGCCCGAACCGCCGGCCCGGCCAGGGACCGGTCCGGGTAGGCCCGAACTGCTGGGGTTCCGGGCCGGGCTCGGGCCCCTCAAAAGGTGAACCGGCCCGGCCGGTCCAGGCCCGGTCCGGGCCAATTTTTTTTTTTTTCTTTTTTTAAGTTTTTGGGTTGGGCTGGGTATTTTGGGCCATTTGAGGTGGTTTGGGGTGGTTTGAGGGTGAGGGGGGGAGGGTTGGGGGTTAATTAGGAAAAGCCAAAAAAAAAATTAAATTGAACCGAGGCCCGGCCCGGCCCGACCCGGACCCGGGGGTTACCCGGGCCGGTTCCGGGCATTCCCTTTCATGAACCGAGGCCCGGCCGGGCCCAGGCCCGAATTGGGCCCGAACCAGCCCGAGTCCACCCCTAACCCCTCACGACCATCTTCATCTCTGTCGACCACTCCTCCTCGACAAGAGAAAATTGCTCCCCTGCTCTCGCCCAACCTCACAGTCAGTAAAACAATACAGAAGTAACAACGGAACCTCGCACGACTCATCCAAAACACCGAAAGCGGACTTCCATGGATGAAGATCGTCGATGAGAAACCCAGCTGTCCTTCGTAGATACGAAGACGAAAAAAAGGCTCTAAGGACTGCGAAACCCTAGAGAGAGAAGGTCTGATAATTTGTTGTTATAATTAATGAATCATTATTCAATTACTCAATAACTAATAACAATCAATGATTAAGTACAAGTCTAATTAATAAATGTATGTTATAAATAAAAAATTAGAAAAATAAGATAAAGATAATAAATATAAACAAAATTATTAGGAAAGCATTAGGAACCCAGTTACAAAATTTAAAGTTATCGCAGATGCTCTTGAACCAAACTTCAAGCAGCCATGGTTCTCAAGTTGCAAGCGCGACAACGACATTTGTATGACGTTCTCTTTGTCCCTATTCGTTGCTGAGTTTTATCTCCTAAAAAGATTTTCTATCCCCTTTGATATACACAAGTGTTAACACTTAGATCAGGGTCAAAGTGGTCTTCTACCTAGCTTTCCGGCAGGCGGCTTGCGCCGTTTCTTGTCTAGCGAATGATTTGGAGTGACACTGGGAGGGCGATCGTTACCACGCTCTGCCTCTCCATGGTTTGATTCTCTATGGTTGATGTTTCTGGATGTGATGCTATGAATCAAATATGGAGGTTTGTGATTGGTACCTTTGATTGGAAAATCGGCTGACAATTTCTGGATCGAGCTCTGAGCAAGGGAGAAGACAGATCTGCGGTCCCCCCTCCTGAGCCGCCTCCCTGGAGTGACCGA